TGACAAAACATACAGAAGATCTTGATGTTATGAATTGGACTTTACTGAGATCAAATTTTACGTGGGAAGAAGTTCAGACGACGATACAATTTGCATTGGAAAAATGTAATTGTGTTATTGACGACAATCGTTTATTCGACGCAATACGGAGATTACAAATTTATTGCAACACAAGAGTGGAACGAACAAATAATGGACTGTGATAAAAGATGGCTTGATGTATTCAACCATTTTAAAAATCAGTATATTCCGTGTGAAAATTTAAAAATATTAGTTGAATTATTTCTTTGTTTGCCAGGCACAAACAAGTCGGTCGAAAGAGTCTTCTCCATTGTTAATGACGTTTGGACTACCGAAAAATCGCGCTTAACAGTAGAGACTCTTTCGGCAATGACTGTTGTAAAATGTAACATTAATATGACATGTCAGGAGTTTTCTAAAATGTTATCAGAAAATGAAGTACTTTAAAAAAAAAATCATTCTAGTGATAAGTATACATAGTAATTTCTATAGTTTACCTTATTAACCCATGTAAATTAGTATTAAAAAGTTAAAAAAAAATCCATGTGTATTTTATTATTATTATTATTATTACGCGTCCTCCTCAGCAGTTTTGAAATTCTGGTCACCTTAACTAAAATTGCATATTATAGTATGGAAATACTAAGAGAAGATCACGTAGAATCATCACGATATCTTGTACTACATTTTATCTGAAATACATAATAATTTATAATCATTAAAAAATGCAAATATAATATCGACTACCCCAATTTGAGTGGCAAATGGTGGCTGTGTAACCAGCGTAAAATTTATCAACTAGACGAGGCAGGTGACGGGGAATAGAGACAGAACCGCCGAAGGTGACGAAACCGTTGAGTAATCCCCATCTCTAGAGATCGAAGCCTGCCGCATTTTCATCCCCAGCTTTAGCGGAATTTTTATGAGCCATTGGAAGCGCGTCATAACATTACATTGCTTTTAAAATATAGTGGTGCAATTCTTAAGAACTGACAACGGCTCTAATAAATGGTAGAAATTTTTTAGTGCCACGTCTAATAATAACTGAAAAGTAAAATATAGATCCATTAAATACGTTTTAGCTTGCAGGGAGTTTCCCTGCAAAGGCTTGAAAGAGGAACACCGTCACAAAGCAGATTGCCTCTATTTTCAGGAAACAATACACGGAAAACATTCGAGTTAGTAAATTTAAATTATCTGTTATGAAACCGAGAAAAGTTAGATTATTATTTTCTGAATTATTGTTTCCGATTGTTTGTTAGACTTTCATAAATGTATTACATTATAGAACCTAAAAAGTTTTATGGCTATTTTAAAATCATGTAACTAATGTACCAAAAAAAAGAGAGTTTGAGTAGGCTACGATATTAGACCATTGTTTTATGACCCCTTCCACCGAACGTTTTTTTTTTTCTTTAAACGACTTTCCCAGTAGTCATTTAAAAAACAGTTCTATCAAAGTTTTTATTTATTCACCCCTACCACAAACTTAATGACGTCATCTTCCAAAACTGTTATAGTATCTATTGACGTCCTGATGTGCTTCGGTTACGAATTTTAACAAACATAAGCGTTTTAACATGTAAGAAAAATTATCTAAGCTTTAAATGCTAGCAGCTCAGAAAAAATCTGAACATTTACGACCAATTTATGAAAGACAAATTTAAAAACATCAGGGAATTAAACAATGTGTTCACAATTAAGTGCTATTTGATTCTAATTAAAATATTGTCGCCAAGTTTCAGCTTCTAATATATTTCGAGCTTCAAGCGCCCTCTCTTTCCTAACTGTAAAACAGGTCATAATTACAATCTACCCCGATGCAGAACCCTGCTCTGTAAGATGTTTTATTCAATCTTTGAAAAGAAAAAATTAACAACACAATATTTTCTTTAAATCAGCGGCCGCCATTTATAGTCACCATTTTACTGTAAATATATTTCCTCTAGGGTACCTAACTGAACTCAATAGAAGGTTTACAACCCAGGGTAAAAGAAAAATAATATTTCACACGATAGAATCGATACGTCATGAAAGTAGAGACGAAATCGAGCACAGGAAATAAAAGAAATGCCCTCCGTCTTGCGATATCACTTCAACTGGATTTTTGTGCAGCTTTTTTAATGGTTCGAATGTTGTGTCTGTATTTCCGTGTGAAAACTGACTATGAATCCGAACATAATAAAATTAAAACAATTAAGACACGTATTAAAAATTGGTAAGTAAAATTTAGTTTGTAATTTCATAAAAAAGCAAATATTTAAATAAAAATGAATCGCATTGGGTGCCACAGTCTGCCTCAACCAGTGTAATTTAAGGTAATTTAGTTAATTAACGATTTACTAATTTGAAATGTTGTGTGTAAAGTTTCGACAACGCCGTCAACACGCACATGTAAATGTTCATATAAACCAGGTGTCGGGAAAGTCATATACAGGTGTTCAAAAAAATTGGCCACTAATTCAACTCTATGACACGTTGTTCAAGAAAAGAGAAAAAATAATTTAAAAAATCCTTTTGATTAAATGTCGACTTTTTTTTTAAATTTCACCATATTTTAATGTATGTACTACTTTGTGTTGGGTATCTGAAATCGATTGGACTTTCATTATTCAATATAATTTTGGAGGTATCTTGGTTTTATCCATAGATTTCTTCATTTTATTACATTACAAAATCTTTAAAATTATTTAGGACGAATCTGACAAAAGTGGCTAAATTTTTACGTTTTTTAATCCATCTATCTAAAGCGTTATTTTGTGTTTGTAAGTGAATGTCAAATTCACGTAAAGAATTTTTTAATAATTTTCAGACCTTCAAAATTATCATCCGTTAAATTCATGTCCTCAAGTTTAATCATTTCTTGCCGCTTGAATTCGAACATTTATTCTCGAAGTGCGCCGAGGGTTTCCGAGATCATCTTATTTTGATTCTGATCTTATTAAATCTAAGTTTTGTTGAAATATGAAATGGCGTCAAGAAGGTAATCTGTGAATTGATTTTTATTCGATTCATAACTTGAATTAGCTAATGCATAATTTAACATCATATCAATTCTTTGTTGTCTGCGTGCGAAACGCGCACTTTGGTTTAAATAGTTGGCTAGTTTGCGAAGACCGGATAGAGAGTATAATATCCGGCAGGTGTTTTAGGCATAGAAATGTGATGTGTGTTATCCTGTCGATATAGTAAAATCATCTCGTTTCAACAGTTACTCTCGGTAAATTTTTTACTTTGTGTGTTTAAATTTGCAATATTCAAATATTTGCATTGATTCGGGACATTTGATTTCATTTGTGAGAGCTGAAGAGGCTTTTATAGCTAACTCGCAGGTTTTCCCTTTCCACAGTGACGGAATACACAGTTTTTGTCCTCCATATTTTGTGTTTAATTTAGCGGCACTTTTCCAACCTTGGGGTTCACGACTTTGCACTTGAACCCATTCCGCCATAGAAAAAAATACAACGTGATTCCATTGTGTTGACAAACACGGTTCAAAGTCAAAATTTAAATTTGTCGCAGGTTTTAAAATTTTGCTCACGTCTCATTTTGGCGGGATGTTTGGGCTAGAGATGAACAAACAAATTTTGGTTATAGATTTACGATCTACATTATGACCTTAAAGTCCTGTAGTCAATCCAATAGTTTCGAAGATTAGGTATTCATCAAATAAAATCGTCAACAAGAGATAGACAAACAAACAGAAAATGATATATTCGTCAAAATGGCCCTGTTACAATACTTTCAGAGAGTAAACAAACTTGTTTTTACTTATCAGTTAATAACAAAGAAACTCAATCCAAACGATTTCACACCAAAAAGCTGGTCTACAGTTATTTAGACGGAACTTCGCTTGCTCCTGAAGTCCAGTTATACAAATCCAATCTCTTAGATAACTGATAAACACTATAAGTTAAAAACCCAAGATATGTGTGAAGTTTTTTGAGTAACTGTAAAGAATTCTAAAAAAAATTGGATGTATTGATAAACCACAAGGTAGACTCATTATATATTGGACATTTTAGATAGGATTTTTCCACCAAAATTATAGTGACATACGACGACTTCTGTTTCTATAACAATACTGAAAAGTTCTTTTTCTACTAACACAACTTACGATTGAACAAAGTTGTAGTATGAAATCCAGTCTAGATTTTTGTAGATCATGGAAAAACAAAGAAAAGAAAAAAAATTAAGTCAGCTCTTTTCCCAAGAGATTTAATTGACAGCTGCGCTTTTCAGTTTCCTTAAACAGTATTTTATTATTTTAACAGTTCCACACACGCTTTGCTTCTATACGAGTTTGTCACACAATAGAGGTTAAAACCTCTCTGGCTATTTAGCTAATCACAGGGTCAGAAGACCCTTATACAACAGTCAAATGGCAAACAAAACTGTCTCGTCAAATAACGAACCCGCATAGACCCTCACCTATTAAATAAATAAACATGTTTGAGATTAATGTAATGTCATTTTTAATTAATGATGCCAATCAAATGGAGCATATTATGGTCGACTATAACTCAAAAACTTTTCAGTCACAGGTTTTAAGTATTTTAATTAAGGCGGGAAATTCAAATAGTAAATTAATTGTAGAATACATTCATACAGGCAAGCGAAGCACATCATATATCTACAAGTTTTGGTTCCATTTGGATAAGTATTTACTACATAGCATAATCCTCAGTTTTATATTATACGGTGATTCACGAATAGCGTCCATTTAATAATTATGTTTATGCAACCCAAAGTTCACTCACATGTTTTAATATCAGCTATCTAATTTTAACTTTGACCGATCCCGACATTTCTGGCACTCATCATTATGAACTCATTTAGAGTTCATCATATTTTTTATATTTAAATTATTAATTTATTAACATAGCAACTTCGAATTTTACGATCAACGCCATATTAGTAATTAAAATAGTGTCTTGTCATTTTTCAAAATTAAAAGGTACCATATAAATAAACAATACTTTAAAAAAGAATGTTACGCTTTATTCAATTCGTATTTTAATACGGTGGTCGTATTTATATGTACACATAATTTAACTCTACAACTATGTGGAAAATTCAACAATTATTAAAAAAAAAATCACAACACAGGATACAAAACATAAATAGATGACAGTTTGCAACGTTTGTAACGCAAAAGTTTATGTTCCTGTTGAATGAAGATGAAGTATGAAAACAGTGAAATGAAGAAAAAACTGAGTAATGATCACTATTCTGATCCTGTAGATCTTTTAACTTTACGTTGCCTTGGACTTTGTTTAATTGATTTGGGAGACTTTTGTGATTTTTCTTTATCTGAAAAAAAAAATACAATTAAATCAGCACTACACCCTCAGTTTACAAAAACTTACTCAATGTGGCCAACGTTTGCTTTGGCAACCAATCATAGTCAACGTTATTGGGGTTGCTTGTGCCAGTTTCCACGGGTACTGTTTTGCGGGTAATGCGCTTCTTTCCAAATGACAATAACGTCTGTTGGCCAATAACCAACAAAAGAACAACTCCAGCCACCAAAAATACGTACAAGAAGAAGGTTTCTCCATCCAAACCTGATTCAAAGAAAAAATTAATTTAATTAATTTATTTCACAGCATATCGTTTAAAAACTTGCCTTCCTCCAACTCTACAATTTGTACTGTTTCATTGTAAACAGCATCTTGGAACGAATTTCCAGAGACATCTCTGTAGGCTAAATTTATATTCAAACCAAAAGGCCTTCCAGCGAATGCTTCAGATGGAACGAAGCTGTATGCTAAAGTGGCTTCTTGATCAGGCTGTACGATTTTGTTGTACGCAATCGCAGAGAAATTTTGGATGTAAAAGTTGAAATCCATGGGATAACGGAATGACGCTTCTAGAGCCTCTAGAGTGAAATCCTCTTTGCCTTTGTTACGGAAGCCGACCAAGAATTCCACAGGAACACCGGCTGGTAGTTCTGTAAAAATTTAAAACAAACATAGAAAATTACTAATTTTTGCAAATGCTGCAAACAATTTTTTCTTTATTCTATTGTCTTCATTCCACCCTTATATTTTATACTATTATTATATCTTTAAATAATGATGGGTTAATTATAATGTAACAAGGTGTTAAAGACGCTATTTAAATAATAATTAGAAAAACAGACTATCTTATCAAAAAAATATATATATAAACAAAATATTGAACTTTCAGGTCAAAAATTATCATATTTAACTTTTCTCCGACAACAAAAACAATATCTTCAATGCAGAATAACAGGTATCTTTATCTGACAAAATAGTTTTTAATTCAAAAAACTACTAAAACCTTGTTGTAAAGGATTTAAAAAATTGGTTTAATCTTAGATAAATTAAAAAATCCTTTGTATGAATTTGATTTTTTTTTAAGTTCAGATAAAATTAGAAGTGTATTATTAAGCTACAAGTTTTCATAGAAAATGCATTTACATCAAAAAAACTTTTGAGATAGGTCACAAAATTGTTGGAAAGGGATAAAAAGATAAATTCTGATCAGCGATTTACCGTGTTCATCGCAATATTAAAAGTTGTTCAAAATTTCAGCCAAAATTAGAGATTTTATTAGATAAACAAATGTTTAATTTTTTTAACATAAACGCACAAGGTTAAAAATACAGTTGGATCAATAAATCTACACGAATATACTTGACGCTTTAAAAAAGATTTGCTTAGCAAAATTTAGAAGTGACGTCATCATATTTTTAGGAGGAACGAGCAAACAAATTTTGGTTTTTTATCAGAAACGGGACACCAACTTTTTTATATTGTAGGAGCTGTGTAGAGTACAATGTATCGACCTTTTCCGAAAATGTATAAAATTTTACTTTTTTAATGATGTAAGTTAAAATAAAAAAATATGTGTACTAAAGTAGAGGTAGGTAACCTATTCCTATGTTTCAAGTGAATTTTTCCATTACAAAATTTTGTGATAAAGTCATCAACATTCTAGCAGGGACACGTATATCAATTTGGATATGTAGAGTGAATACTAAAATAACAATATTCTATGCCCAAATTTTCTGTACCATTTTTGATTTAATCAATAAACTAAATTGCTTCATTCATTAATTTTTAAGATATCACTCACAACAACCATAAACATCGAGATATTAAAGAAAATAGTGGATTGTTAACGGCTTCTCTGCTAAATTTTACATTGATACAAAAGCATTTTTCCAAGAAACCATAAACTCAGAACAGGAGGCGGAGAGGCCGACGGTCATAATTTACTATTGTTTCTACTTATTTAAAAATGTTAGTGAATAAAAAACAGTTTGTTTAAATTATTTTTTTCAATTACCTTTTTCAGATGTTTGATGTGACTGATGTTAGTTTTTGTTAGAAAGAGCAGAAATTTTGAAATTTTAGAACAGTATAAAAATTAATCAAATAAGTTTTTTAACAACTAACAACTGTAGCATAAAATTAAATGTAAAACCCTACCATAAAACATATCAACAAAATTATTATTACAACTCTGTGCTTATTTGATAACTTCCCTATTTTTTTTAATGGAAAAAACGATATTTTCTTAATAAAAAAAGAATGTTTCCAAGATTATTTCCACCCCCTGAGGGATAGTACAACAAATTCAGTTTCTTCGAAAAATTATAATAAGCTTTATAACTTAAAGCAAAGATATGTATGGGCTGCCAAAGTACAGATAAACTAGTCACAATGTAAGAAAAAAAAAATGGATATATCGCAGATCGAACCCCGGACCCCTCAGATGCAAAGCTAATGCGATTTCCATAATTTCCAAGTGTTGGTATTATGTATTTAAAAACAAGCTTTACTAGAGAAATATTGAATAATAAAAATTATAACAATATACAAACTGAAGACAAATTCATAAACCACAAGTACAAGATTATATTATTTTATAAAATTTATAAGGCATGTAGGTACTAAGCGAAATTTTGCGGAGACGTCATCAAATTGTTGGCGCTGATGATTAGGCAAACAGGTAAAAAATCGGTCCTATAGTTTTGGAGATTAGGTGGGTAATAAAAATCGACAGACGATATACAGACGGAAACGGGAGACCTATTTTTCATAGTCTAGGGGTCATGAAACGAGAAAACATGAAAGTACTCAATTTACTAACTCATTCATAGTAGTAAATTGTTGTGTGCATGTCTGAATAACACTTTTCGATAGATCTCCAATTAATTCTTATCTTTAATAGCACTTCATATCACTTTTATTGCAGTCAACAATATTTTTCTAAAGATCACACAATTTATAATTATCTTGAATAAAAACCAAAGTTGGTCTATTAGTTTTTAGAAAAATTTCCCAAAATCATCACATACAGTTAATTTTAGTTCACTTTGAAAAACAACCTACAATATCTGATGATAATAAATTATCCCAACCTCATTTACAAAAATATAAACAAATCATATCAAACACGAAAAAAAAAATAAGAGATAACATTTTAACAATATACTGAATAGTGTCTTATTGAGACCTTGGACAATGTAAAAAATATGAGGCAAGTAAAATTAGACAACACATGCGCTATTTTGTGTAATCTGTAACTCGTTAAAAGAATTAATATATTGTTTGTATGATTTCTGACATCTGAAGACAACAACTTACACTAGAACTCGTCGATTTTTAAAGCGTTAATAGATAATGTCCTTATTTTAACTAATATGGACATCTTAAGCAGTCATCTAATACATTAGAATTTAAAAAAATATTTTTGAATTTATTTATTACTCCATTTTGAATTAAGTATTTAATTAGCTTTACTATCTCTTATGGGCACTATTGAATTACATATTTCTAAATCGCCTCATCATATTACAGAATCATTCAAAAAAGATAATTCCAGATTTTTGTCAGACACCTTGAAAACGGTAAAACTTAACGGTGTTTTTTCTCATTGAACTTCTAAGTATCTTCCAGTTTCTCAAATTGCATTAGTTAAGACAATACACAAGCACAAACTTGTTTATAGTTATGCATTTCTAAACAAAATATTTTCTAGTAGTTATGTTTGGTGCTTTTCTCTTTTCTGTTAATTTGTTACAATATTTAAGCTTTCCTATTTATGTTTATGTAAAAAAGCTTAATCAAGGAAGGCCTTATTTTGTGTTCTGTCCTAACTTAAACAAGCTGTTGGTTTCAACTAATTCAATTAGGATTTCTCACACCATCTTAGTCAGAATGGTGTAAATTTTCTAGCTCAACATAAGTACGATTATTTTTTTATAACAAACTCACAAAACCAGCAGCAAGTTAACAACAACCAACCTAATTGAGAAGCGGTAGCAATGGGCCTAACGAACAATAACGTTGTATCTGCATCAGGTGAGGCTGTTGTTCGTTCCTCCTCCTCTTCCTCATCTGTACTTGCTACTTCCTCCACATCACCTTCTCCCTCAATTTCAACTTCATCTTCCAAAGGATCTTCTTCAGCATATGCCGTTATCTTGTGACCTAAAGACAAGCTTATGTAACCATACACACAGACATGCTAATAGTACACATATGCTCGAAGATGAATAGCAAAATTTTGTATAAAAATTGTCCCAAATTGAGGCAACTTTTAATAGTTTAATTCAGTTAAATGAAGAATATATCAAACTTACACGAACTTTGAATATGAAGTTGTGCCACGTAAATTGGCCAAAAGTCAATGTACTCAATGAAATGCAAATTTTTGAAAATATTTTGAAAAACTTAAAGAAGCTTACCATTATCTATCGTGAAGATGACTGCTGGTAGAACCAATAAAGCAATTAGGAAAAAGGACTTCATTTTAATCTAGTTTTTATTGAACTAATTGCACAAATCTCATCCGGCGATCTGAAACTAACCAAATACGATCTCACTACAATTTCTACTTTTCAGCCAGCAGGTGATACGTGGAACTCGTTTGTACACATGGCACCCCCACTCCAATGACATCACGCAACTTTCGAAAACGACAGCTACGAAATCAATACCAACCTCGAAACAAAATCCCCCGGAAATAGTGACATTCGAGCGTCTTGTGTACGCATTATTGTGAGGTTAAGCGGCTGATAAAGTTTTCACACGTGTTTTACCCAGAGACTCCTCCGTGAAGCGAAGGTTCGCCGAGAGGTTGTCACACGAATACTTTTATCCAAAGACAAATCCAACAACTTGATCAGAATGGTAAGTAAATTGTTAACCCCGTCTAAAAGTTTGTTTACCAATCAACATTAATTAGGCAGAAGAAGTCAACCCAAAAGCCTACCCTTTGGCCGAAGCTATCTTAACCACGAAAATCCTGAACCTGGTGCAACAAGCAATGAACTACAAACAGCTGCGTAAAGGAGCTAATGAAGTCACAAAAACTCTGAACCGTAACATTGCAGCCTTTATTGTAATGGCTGCAGATGCCGAACCCTTGGAAATTTTACTACATCTCCCACTTTTGTGTGAAGATAAGAATGTGCCCTATGTGTTTGTGCGTTCCAAGCAGGCTCTTGGACGTGCTTGTGGTGTATCAAGGTCAGTGATTGCCTGCAGTGTCACTATCAACGAAGGTTCTCAATTAAAGCCACAAATTGAAGCCATTCAACAGGAAATTGAGCGCCTGCTCGTTTAATTTTAAGCATAGACATATTTATTTTTTAAGTGAACAATTTTTCAATAAAACTAGCTGTAGCAAGAACTGTTATTCGAAAATAGGTCCTGCAACCAATCTCCAATTTTCCTGCCATCGCAAATTTTGGAATGTTTTTAGTTCAGTCTTAAATTTGGATTCAATGTGTTGTTGTTTGTCGTTGTTGGGGTAGTTTTCAAACCAATCTAGAAGTAGTTTCGACAACTCTTGAGGCGTTGAAAATACGAAACTATTTTCTCCATGTTTAACCAGTTCATCTAAGCTGAAATAAATTGGGTGAAATGACACCAACTGTATTTATCTAGTTTTACTAACCACTTGAAATTGAAAGCGCAAACAGGTAGGCCACAGCCAAACATGTCTACAACTTTCATTGGTAAGTCGAGGCCGCTTGAACTAGTGTGGAGGGACACCCCTAAGTCTGCTGAAGCTAAAAGTAAGGGGTAATCTTCTGGTTCTAACCATGGCGTAATGATGGTCACAAAGTTCCAACTTAATTTAGATAATTTATGAAGGTAGTATTCTTTTAATGGTCCTTTCCCTGTTATAGCACAGATTAGTTCTGGCAGCTGTCTAGGGTTTCCATTTTGACATTGGCGCTCATAATCTAGGGAAACTCATATGTATTACAGTCACCTAAAGACTTTTGTGTACCTTGTAATACTGTTAAAAGAACAGAAAAATCTTCATCCTCCGTCCAACTAGTACTTGAAACCAAAAGACCAGGTCTTTTTGGTTTTAAGCTTACCACTCCATCTGCTACTTCAGTAAAAGCAGTTGTTTCATCATTTTCCCCTAAGAAAACTTTGTGGTATGTTTGACCACAGTGAAGCAAAAATTTATGCTTATCTTCTAAAGTGATGGATTTAAACATTAATGGGGGTCGATCATAGAGTGTGGTAGCTCTACAAATAAGCCATTTATTTTCATTAAAAACACAAACACTGACTTACTCAATCCCATATTGCTTACACAAGTCATCCTTCATTGCTTTAGTCACACAAAAATTATGATCTGCTTTTTTCCCAAAAATAGCTTCAACTTTTTTTGTCACTTTAACTAATGGATGTGATGTACCAACATTCAAAGCCATTATAGTATGTGCATAATTATGCCAATCTATTATAAATTTAGCTCCAACAAGTCTGGTATAAAACCAACAAATTATCACAGCAGGAATAGCTGGGGGATTTTGCATAACAAGAATGTCCGATTTGGAAGTTATAGACAGCAAGAAGAGTAAGTTTAATGATTGAAATATAGTCTTAAAAGCATAATTTAACAGTCTCATAGGAAACTGGGGAACTGGACACATATAGTGATACAAAATTAAAGGATCAGTCTTTACAGATTCCATAGGTTCAGTATCTCCATAACCAATTATGTCCACCTGGTGCCCCATTTCGGTCAAAGACTTGCAATGGTACTGCATACGTGGGCTTCTCCCAATGTCACCAAGAACCACGACTTTCACATATTTCTTTCTTCCGCTCATTTTGGCCAATTATTTGCTTTAAAAGCTATACAGACAAATTGTTCACCAGTATAACACAATATACTTTGTGATGACTATTCCAATTACCTGCTTTCACCCAGTTTTCGTCTCAATGTTTAGAGCATACGTGACATGGCACACGATTTAGTAATCATATGGTTAAACATTTTTGAAATAAACAAATTCCTAACCTTAGTTTTTGTGTTCCAACATGGCTGACATTTGACAATTGTTTGTATTACGCACAGCGCCAAATTTGAATTTCAGGTTTTTCGTATTTGTGTAAAATTTCTTATCAATAGTTAAAATAATGAAGGCATTTTGAATAAATGAAAAAAGTGCATTGAAAACTAAGTACCGTTATTAACTGGATTCATATCACTCGAATAAGTTAAATTTACCCAACTGATGTTCAACAGGTAACTGCCACTACCGATTAATGTACTAAAATTATCAATTAAGACAATATTTCAGTGCATTTATTCTTCATTTAAGCATAATACAGTAAACATTAAAAACTATAGTTATCTCTATTTCTATACAATATATTATTATATACTGATTAAGGAATTATTAATTATTGTGATCAAGGTAACAGTGAGTCATCACAAAACGCTTTTAGGTCTTAAATATGTGAAGCGTTTGTCAGTGGCTGCTATATTCACTGATCTCAAATAATCTAAAAACTACTTCCACTGATCGAATTCTACAGTTATTTTCATCAGTAAGATTGAAAGCATGAGACACTTCTGCAAGACCTACCAAACGTGAAGCCTGCGTAAATCCCTCTACCGTGTAAAAGTTATCATAAAATTCAGTCGCTTTAAATCACCTGAAGTCACGTTATATTAGCAGAAATGTCTCAGAGTCTGGTGTTGACATAGTTAGAAGTATTAAGACAACAACCAACATTGAGTAGTACTCCAAATGTATTCGAACGAAAGAATAAAAAATTTTTCTTACGTGTTAATTATTTATGAAAAGTTATTTCCATAGCGTTTATTAAATACCAAATATAACAAAACGTAGTTTTTCAAGAACAATAATTAACAAAAAAACAAAAAAAATTCTCACCAAAACAGTACAAACTATTCACAATTTGTAAGCTACTCCTAGTCCCTTGAAGTACCAATAATCGATAAAATGTACATGAAAATGTTAATAATATCGATGTATAAGTTAAGAGCGGCAAAAACGTATTCTTCGGGCGAGATGGAATACTTATGGTTGCCACCCAACATGAGCTGCGTGTCATATATCAAGTAGATCGAAAATATTAAAGCGCCCAATGAGGCGTAGACCATTTTCAAAACTTTAGTCTGAACAAAAATAGTGACAATACCAAAGATCAGCAGAATCAACACCGCAACAAACAGTATTCCACCGCACATCGTAAAATCGTATTTCGTTTGGAAAGCAAAGAGTGTCAACCCCAAACAAACGGCTGCCGTGATGCCAACTGCCATCATAACTTCTTCGGCTTGGTACGTCGAGGAGCTGACCGCAAGGACGAAGGATTCTGCCAGAGTGAAGATGAAGAGGAAAATGTAGTTTGTCGGGGTCTTTCTTCGTACTTCCCCGCAGCAGACCAGGGCTATCATTGTAACGAACAAGACCACGAGGGATATAATCAGCAACTCGACGTGGGCTCTGACGAAAAGTCGGGTCGGTTCATGGTACAAAAACCACGCGATGAATCCAAGAGATATGGAAAGCTGTACCATCAAAATTGAGTAGACTTTGCGGATGAAGCCGCGACGGATACTTTTGTCTGAGAAGTCGAATCCCTTCACTTCGGGATCGTCGCCAGGGTAGCTTGCGCCTCCGTACATGCCTGGAAAAATTATTAAATCGGTTAAAATAAATTTTCGAAAATGTTACACAAATGACTAGTGTTGCCAACATATTTTAATTACGAATTAGAAAAAATGAATTACGTTAAAATGCAATTTTAGAAATGGTAATTTATTTTGTAGCGAAGTTAGTAAAATAATGTTATTAAGGTATGAATTAGTAACGCTAAAAATAAAATAACACGTTTAGTGGAAATCAATGTCTTCCATATAAATAACTCAACATGAGTAGAACTCAATAAAAGTAGTTAATTCCTATTTCTGTACAAAGTAGAGTTACGCTGACATAATAATAACACAAAAAATCTACAATGGAAATAACGTCCAAGTTAAGTGTGTTCTTGTGATCCATCTGTTCTTGTAAGGGTGTACACACACGTTCCGATAATTGACCATTCAAATAGCCATCACATTACATAATAAATAATGTACTACATTAATTTCCATAAAGTGCAGTTTTGTTTCTACAACCACACAAGTTTTCTATTTTTCATATTTTACCATGACCTGAGTCTTTTTACAATAATTAAGTGAATAGCATTCAGTTTTTAAAGTACGGTTCATAAAACTTGTGAAGTTTCCCCATACAAGTGAGTACATTAAAAGTGTAACTTTGTCCCTCTTTGTATGCGATAAAGAAAAAACTCACTACCATACCACGAGTACGGATGCCACATGCAGCTGACTAGAGTTGTAGCCCTTCTAAATTTAGTATCATGCTTTGAACCAGTAAAAAATTTGCTTATAAACATGAAAAATGCTTTTATAAGAGTATCAGATAAAAAACTTTAAATTACTTGAAGTCGCAACCTACAAGCTTTTGGCCCTTCTTTCTTTTGTAGATTATAAATTCTACAACGTGGTGAGTTTTACATGTTACTAGGAGTGGTGTTAAACAAGGATCTTACCTTAGGTACATCTTATTCTTATTGTATTTTAACGATATGTTGTGACAATCATGTGTCAAATTTGCATTTTGACCATCCAAAAATTTGTGTCGCTTTTACAAAGATAAAGCTTTTAGCAACTTTAGCAAGTGTTTGCAAAATGAAAAAAAAAAGAGAAATGTAAACTTATAATAATTTATCGAATATTAACTTGTACAAAAATAAATCGAATTCGGAAAATATGGATAATTATTGTATTCATTATACGAATATTTCATTTTTCTTATTCGTAAGTGATGCGACGGTCAATTATAACGTGAATTTTGTCAAAAAGCTTTAATCTTTGTTCCACTTGAATAAACAATTTGTTAGTACACAGTTTCTTTTTGTGTCAACTTATTCATGAATAGATCGATTGTAGTTGCTTTCTGAGAAGTGTAAACTTTCATGTACTACGTTTGGTTATCTCATAAAACCTTCACGTTAAAAACGACGATAACTCAATAAGTATACTTCTTATTCATGAGTAAACAACACGTGAGGTAAGATGAAATATCGATATTATTCTTAAGACCTGAAGTGTTTTCGCAGTACTTACAAAAGTGTAGATATATTGTTCTTCTACTAATTTCGCTAATAAAATCATTTTTAACGAATACACATATTTAAAATAGTATGCTAAAGAACGAATTTCATAAAAATATTGAGGCACGAATCCAAGTGCCACAATGGCCTTATGAACGAGTAATTTATACTATTTTTTCTACCGCGCACGTTTTTTCACAAAATTTAATTGAAATTTGCCTTTTTTTAAATCTGGGGAATTTTGTAGTGTTTGGTGATGGGTTGGTCTGACAGTAACCAGGAAATATTTGAGGTTCGAATTTTGACAACAACAACTGTATTTCAAATCAATTCGAGTTTTTGTAAGTTAAAATTGGTTAAAATGTCTTGTGAAGAAGTTAGCGAAGTCCTTGCGCCTCCGGAAATACGGGAAATTTTAATTTGACATTTGCCACTGACATTCACCTGACATTTTTCGTCATGGCTACCAATCTTACACCAGATCTATTAAAGAACGCCTTTCCGCTATTAACGAACTGCTGTGACATCATTTGCGTGCTTTAATAGCTCTATTAGAAAACCAAAAAACCTGTGCTGTAGAAAATAGTACATATATTAAAGAACGAGTTTCATAAGGCAAACATTGAGGCACGAATCCAAGTTTATAGAACGAGCGGCGAAGCCGCGAGTTATATAAAGGATGAGTGCCTCAATGGCCTTATGAACGAGTTATTTATACTATTTTTTCTACCGCACACGTTTTTTCCCAAAATTTAATTAAGTGATGGCACATACATTTACGAACATAAACCAAATAGTAATGCGATGTATACATTAAATTTAACTTTCCTAAGATTATTTTATGATTCACGTTCGTCGCAATAAGTTTACGTGATATTTCTTTAATGAGCAGATAATTCCAAAAATATTTTTTGTAATGGTGGTTACCTTGAAAAAACCTATGGAATATTTAACGTTTAATTGGTCACATTCTAAAGATTGATCAACGCCACATTTACTTAAAAAATACACGTAGTAAGTTTGCAAAACACATGTCAAAGTCAAAGTTGAGGTCCCCCTTTTTCATAGATAGGAGAGTAAAATTCGTTCTTTTCTCACTGTTGTATCAAATCTGATTATATTTCGATGCGTTTGCGTCAGCTGTTGAATAAACAGTCGAGTTACCAATAAATAAATTTCCCACGGGACCCAATGTCATGAAAACCTGGTCAAAATTCTCAAAAGTTTTTCGCGACTTGTATGCAACAATAATAACATCAATGAGATTAAAGCACTCAAAAAGTAAACAAAATATTCTCCTTACCTTGTGCTTCCCCCTCCATCTAATTGAAAATAAATAACAATCAAATCGCGAAAATTAAAGCCCTTTGAAGCTGACAAACCGCTCAGTCCTGTTGTAATAATCAATTAAAAATGCTACATTTTCATTAGCGATAAGGACAACAATTTATCAGCTGCATGATGGTACGATAATTTTTTGAAGTGAAAGAGAAAACAATTTTTTTTCAAACGGATAAAGATTTGAGTGAAATCTGAAAATTCCATAAACGGACATTTTAGCCAGGTTTTCATTACATTGGTGCAACTGTATACGAGACCAAAATATAATTTAATCGTTTGATTGTTGCATGAGTGTCAATAATAAAACTGGTTATTTATTGAGAATATTCCACAATAACTGAAAATTATAGAGCAATTAAAAAAAAATGAGTACGTGCGTGAAACGTCATCGTTTTAATGACTAGTACCACCCACTTTGCAGAGTGCAAATTAAAAAAATAATACAAGATTATTCCTGATATGCATCTGATGTGACAAATTTCAAGTTAATCAATCACGAAACATGAAATAATATGGAGGTAATCATTGTTCTCAGGAAACAATAAAAACTTGAAGTGATACTTCACTGATAAAAGCGAACTGCGAAAAATATGGTTAAGTAAATACCTAGTGACTATTAATGTTTGTGATTTTTTTGATCAGGTTGGCAGCACATTTAAAATTTTATTATAGTATTCCTGATTGTCAATTTTAGGCACCAATCAGTAGTTGCCAATGTTGTCATCTTCTTATCATGTTTGTTATAATTACGCGCTCTTATATCAAAATTGACAACGGTCAACTAACATGGCAACATTGCTGCCAATAATTCAGAATTGCCAACACAAACATTTGCTTCAATTATTATCAAGTCATCCGGTACTAGGAAAAAATTGGTCAATAAAAAAATCCCGCTTCTTTGAAATTAAAAAAAAAATTTGCAATTTTTGTTTTTTGATAATCTCTATAGCGTAAATAACACTCCCGCAGCTTTTGCAACTTAAATTTTTCAATTCTTAATTTTTTTATTTCTTGAGTTTTTCGGTTTGCAATTTTTAGAGTTTTTAAGTTTAAATTTTTCAGTTTTACAATATTCCAATTTTAGAATTTTTGTATTTTTCGATTTGAGTTTCTCGGGTCAATTTTTATGTTTCCACTTTTTCGATTTGCAATTTTTCGTTTCGGTTTAATAAAAAAAGAAAACAAATCCTTTTTTTTTTCAATTATTCGATTTTTCAATCGTTTCTACAATTTTTCGATTTGCGATTTTTCAGTTATACATTTTTTCGTTTCTTCAATTTTTAATTTTGTAATGCTTTCATTTTAACATTTTTTTGTTTTCGATTTTGCAACTTTCGGATGTTTCAATTTTCAGATTTTGCAATTTTTCAATTTTCGATTTGAAATTTTTCGTTTTGGTTTTTTGTTTCCTTAATTTTTGAATTTTTAGCTTTTTCAATGTTTTGATTTTCTAATTTTTCTTTTTTAAATGTGAAATTTTTCAATTTTTCGTTTTTTCAACTTTTGATTTTCAATTTTTCTAGTTTTCATTTTAAATCTGCAATAATTATAACTTTAAAAAAATTCACTTTTTCAATTCGTGTTTTAGAATTTTTCCATTTTTCAATTTCTGGATTTTAAAACTTTTAAATTCATTCGATTTTTCCAGTTTTCGATTGTTAATTTTTAATTTCTCGATATTAAATTTTTTGATGTTACAGTTTTTCGACTTTAAAATTTTGACGATTCTGTAATTTTTCGATTTTAAGTTTCTCGATTTTTAGTTTTTCATTGTTTCAATTTTCCGTTTCTTTAATTCTTCGATTTGCAACTTTTCGCTTTTCCACTTCTTCAATTTTGCAATTTTTCGTATTTTCCGTCTTTGATTTTTAAATTTGTTCCGGTTTTTAAATTTTTCGATTTTTCCACTTCTCGAATAAAAAAAAATTGAAAAAACTGCAAAATTGTAAAACTGAAAAAACGAAAAAGTATAAAATGAAAACTTTGAAATATCTAAAAACTGGAAATCAAGAACTTGACAAATTGAAGAAACGGAAAATTCAAAAATCGACAGATTAACAACAAATTGAGAAACTTACAGATTGAAAAGGTGCAAAATCGAAAAAATGAAATATTGAAAATTTAAAAAATCGGATCACTGGAAACCACAAATTGCAAAATTGAAAAATTTAAAAATTGAGGAATTGAAGAATCATAAAATCGAAAGGAACATAGAAAAAATAGGGGAAATGAAAATTAAAAAATCGGGAATGTTAGTGCCTCTGGCGGGGACCTGTTGCACCCCTCTCCACCCGTAAGGGTGGGAGCCAGGGCCACCACCACCTTCGAATACAGGGAACATTCATTCACTATTCATCATTCACTCTTCAAGCACTCTTCAAGCGGTTAACATAGTCTTTATATTCAATCTCTGGACCTAACGGTCATAAAATCATACTCGCTCTAGAACACACTTGTTATTTATTTAATAAAACTATAAAACGACTGTCCGCTGCTCTTATTCATAATCCATCAAACTTAACATGGTCCTTCGAGCCGGATCAGCGACAGAAAATCAGTAACAGTGATAAGTGTAGTTCGATAAATCATCATCGCTTGGAATTCAACATTCCACCTAAATCATCAAGTATTCAAAAATCGGTAACGGCCGCGAGTGCAGTGCAAATCATCGAGGGTCATTCATCAAGAAACTCAGGTAGGCTTTAGTTTTGTCCATTTTGCGTAGTGCATTATTCTCGTACTGACGATGTCGAATAACGAATCTCTCTGGAAATTTATCGTTCTTGTTAACGATGTGCATTCACATGCGGAGTTCATCTCGGAAGTTACAAACCACCAAAAAATAGGCGAGTTAAGATGCAGGTTGGAAGATTTGAAACGGGTACAATCTAACGTACAAAATCTTATAGTTGAACATAAATCGGAAATCGTGGTATTTTTAGATGACACGAGTAGCGAAGAATCTAACAAACCCGCAGTTTATAATCTCGGACCCGTGCAAACCTATATCCATGAAATATCGGAATTATATACTGCTCTAATCAAAAAAGCCGATTTGTTGTATCATCTTCCTTTCCCGAATTCGTTTAACGTAAATACTAACAATGCTCATCTCGAAAAACGTTGTGAAAATCTAAAACCCATAAAAGTGGACAACATGCTAAATGGAGAACCCATTAAACTTCATAAGACTACCAATGCTTCGGTTAATGTGCGGTTTACCCCTGCACTATTCATTAAGTATAAAACTATAGATAACAAAAAAGTCATTATTTCAGAAACGCATAAGTTAATACCGAATTCTCACAAATTATTATCAAATTCAATATCAAGCAAACCGAAAAATCATCCGGATAATAATTCTTGCAACTCTGTGGGCATGTCCCAAACTAAGATAGATAGCACATCCAATCCAAAATCAGACACCGCGTTAATTCCAATAAAAAGTCATACAGATAATTTGAAAGATTGTAGCTCATTATTGGATACCGGTAAACAATGTGAATCCAAAACCAAATATTTGGGTAAATCATTAAAATCAAACACAAAGAAGGTACAAGTAAGCAATAATCAATCAATCCCGTGTTTTATATGTTCCCAAATGCACAACATATTCAATTGTACAACTTTTTTAAGTTTAACGCCCAACGATAGAGTGGAACAAATAAAGAAAATGAATCGTTGCTTCAATTGTTTAAGAAGTAATCATGTCGCGAAAAATTGTTACATATCAAGGCATTGTAAACAATGTCATAAGAAGCACCACACGCTTTTGCACGCAGAAACAAACAATAACCTTCTCAAAAATGAAATCAAAAATAAACCAGATGAGGATTCCGATAATCCTGAAGACACCTCGAAATGTAATTTAGCTATTCCGTCTAGTGTACTTTTATCCACCGGTTTGATTCGCGTAATGGGCCAATCAGGTAAAGTAAAAGAATGTCGCGTTTTCTTGGACATCGGGAGTAAATCTCAATTCATCACCGAAAATTTGGGCAAGTCTTTGGAATTACATATTCATAGCATCGACACGTCAATCGTAGCAATTCTTGATAAGAATAAACATTCAGAAAATGCCGAACTTAAAATACAAAATCATTTTATGAAAAATCCACCGGCGCTTCAAAATACCCCGCTGGGGTTGATTCTTAATGGCAGTTTTGGGCATTTAAAAAATTCCCGTCATCACAATATTAGTTTGAATAAAATTATTTCTCATTTGTTTGAAGTTGAGACTGTCAAAACCGGAAGCAGGTTATTAAGCAAAGGTCTTAAAACCTCTGTATTTGCAACCCCTTTTCAAAATACCACCGGCCATTCACCCGATGGTCGTTTCGTAATTAAACTCCTCTTTTCGGAAAAGTTGGGTCGTTCCACCGTCCCTTATTTCAAAAATCCACCTCAATTAAGAAATTCCCAAGAAGGGGTTCTCCAACCGTTATTGTTCGCAGAGGGTCGTAATCATAAACTTACCGAGGGTTTTATTGTCTTTCTAAGGAAGTACCTAGACCTTGTACACCTGAAGGTACTTAACGGAAATTCCTTAAATAATCCTAGTTACCTGCCACACAATTGTGTTTACAATCCCTACATTTCTTCCATTAAATTCTGCAAGGTTTTTGACCGTTCAAATCTTAGCTCAAACAATTCAAGCCTAAACGACAACTCATTAACAGCCCCCGTTTTGCAGTCCGAACCTTTCACAATTCTAATTCAATTTCGTTTGCCCCAATTTATCGACACATGTGATATATCGAAGATGTACCGGTGTGGTTGGCTTCACTCGGACGACCGCAATTATCAAAAAATCATGTGGCTAGAATCTCCTGAACACAATCATTGGTTTTATGTCGATAAGGCATTGTTCGTTTCAAATTCTTTAGTCAAATTAATCGAGCCCAAAGACGATTTAAAGACCGTTCTAGCGAAGGCAAGTTCCAAGATAAGTAAATGGTCGTCTAATTGTACTGATATACAAGAATGCGCTCAGGCTACATCCAACAGTAATCGTTTAATAACTGACAAACAATACAATAATAAAACTTTAGATATCAGGTGGGATAACCAAAAAGAATCGTTTTTATATGCAGCATTCATTAGTCACGACGTCACAAATTTCGTAAGTACTAAGCGCAAGCTAAGCGAATTGCTATTAGGGAAAGAATTTCAGAATAAGCTAAAACCAGAAAATATCAAATGGACTTTAATTCCCCCGCGTGTGCCCAATTTTGGTGGTTTGTGGGTAGCGTGGATTAAATTCATAAAAACTCACATCCAGCGCATTATCGGATACAACCATCTAACGTACGAGATGATGTATGCGCTTTTGGTCAGGATTAAAGCTGTCCTGAATTCGCACCCTGTGACGCCGCTTTCCAGCGACGTTACTAATTCAGCCGCACTGACTCCGGGCCATTGTCTTGTTGGCCATCCATTGACAACTCCAGTAGAAAAGGAATACACTACTATTCCTGTCAACATCCTTTCCCGTTGGCAATTGAGTGAATCCTGTCGCCAACATTTTTGGAAGCGCTGGTCCGCGGAATATCATACGACGCTGCAGGGGAGATCCAGGTGGCAAACCCTCTCAAGAAACGTTCCCGGCACTGGAGCGCTGGTACTACCGATCAAAGAAGACAACCGGCTCCCGTTGCGGTGGCGATTACAACGAATAGTGCAAGTGCATCGCGGCAAAGACGATCTGGTTCGCGTAGTGTCTGTGCAGTGTCGAAATTGCATCATAAAGTGCGCCAATTCGGAAACGGTATTTCCATTTACTAATTCGGGCTCTGGTTAACTCATTACATACACACTATTGTAAATAAAGTTTGTCCACTCATATTGTACCTGATAAAGAGTTGTAAATCTCTCTTTCAGGTGTATTCCATGTATAAGTAATGCATTCTTATTGTATGTGGGCAAGTGTTGTAAATCGCTATTCTTAGTTTATTGCCCATATTGTATAATCACTGTGAATCCATTCTATACAATGTTAATTGTAGTAAATCTTACTCATGTATTCTGATTCGAATTGATCATTACGATATCATGTTATCACTCTAACATTCTATTATTTTGGTATTAAAACAATGTAATTGTTTCAAGGTGGGGGGTATGTTAGTGCCTCTGGCGGGGACCTGTTGCACCCCTCTCCACCCGTAAGGGTGGGAGCCAGGGCCACCACCACCTTCGAATACAGGGAACATTCATTCACTATTCATCATTCACTCTTCAAGCACTCTTCAAGCGGTTAACATAGTCTTTATATTCAATCTCTGGACCTAACGGTCATAAAATCATACTCGCTCTAGAACACACTTGTTATTTATTTAATAAAACTATAAAACGACTGTCCGCTGCTCTTATTCATAATCACTACGCGGGAATTTGTTTCACCGCTGCAATCCCCCAGTTAAAGTAAAGTGTGTTTTACGGCGAGTAGCGGGGACGCCTTGATCTGGTCCACAAGGTCGTAGCCAGTGCGTCGCTAGGAGTGTTTACAGCTAGTAAAAAAACTACTTCTATATTACTATATTACTTCAAATAATAATACTTGATGCCCTTTTTAATTTTTCAACCACAGGACCACAGATTTGTGATCTTGAAATGTTATATTATGTTGAAATAGACCAAAAGAAAAATATATTTGTAATCAAACTATCGCCGCGACAGCACTGGTTCTAGCGTATGAGATACAATTCCGCGCGTTGTTCATAATCCATCAAACTTAACAGGGAAAATGAAAAATAAAAATCAAGAACTTGAAAAATGAAAAAAACGAAAAATTGTGATATCAAAAAATTGGTCGATGGTAAATAAATCCAGATTATAATTTTAATTTTGCGAAATTTATTTCTTATAATAACCGTTATTAAGTTAAAATAAAGATACGTATGCAATATTAAAGTAAGAGTTTTTCGATTACAAAATTTGATGATGGCGTCTTCAACATTTTTGCAAGGACACGTATATTAATCTGGATAGTTGGAATGTAATACGTACTAATAATAACAGTACTGTATTCCCAAATTTTCGGGAAAATGGAGTGAATCGTTCTTGATTTAATCAATACAATAAACTGCCTCATTTATAAGCTAAAAATTGTTCTCATCCATACTATTATTCTCCTTTGTATATCTGTTAACATACTTTGCTTTTGTTTTTTCTCTTAAATCAGAAATATCGTTTACATATTTACACCTTAAAAATGCGTAAACAAATTCAACCAAAGTCTAACGTTCTTCATGACGCCGTTCCTCAAATTAAAATTATAAAAAGTGTAATCTACACTACTTTAATGCAACACTTAGTCAGTTGAGTGACTCATGTATAACTTTCACAATTTACAGACGTTTGTATGTGTGAAAATTTGAGTTTTTCAACAAACTGAAATGAAGATTAAACGCCTCTGTAAAAAAATTAAACAAACCCAAAATCCGCAAAGCAACGCACTTTCACATTACCACAAAGGCTTAGAAAAAATAACTGCAGAACACACAGAAAATTTAATGTGAACTAGAAAATTATTCACACAAAAATCATTTTACGCATACTGAGTCAGTATTCTCCACAAATTAAACTTTTTTTATTATACACAGTCGTTTAAAAAGAGAATGTAATTAATTAAAGTTTCAAAAAATAACACAAACTTAGTAGTAAGTGAGATACGAAATTGCCACTTTTAAACGATAAAACTGGATTGAATTAAACTTTACACAACTGTCGTTAATTTAAGTTACAAAGACCACTTTTTTTTTAATTTAAATTTTTGAATTGTTCTTTTAATTTGAACAAGTCTAAGCTGAGGATCAATTTTTATGCCAAGGTTACTTACAGTATTTCCACGAAAACCGAATACGTTTACATTTTCAAATATTTAAATCCATAAAGTCATAACGACTTATAAAGACTGCGTTACAGACTTATTATGTATACATGTTTTTTAAAACAATATTAAATCGTCGGAAGAACATACAAATTTTACAGTTACTGATATCATTAATGTTTAAAGTAAAAAGTAATGGGTTGTTTTGATAAACATATTTTGACCCGACGCTTTTTAAAAAAAAAGTCAAAATTTATAAGCCATGTGGATGCTACTCTTACACCCTTTCCAAGATTCTTAAAATCCAGATTAGAAAAATTACATGATTATTCCTATTTCTTATGAGCAGCTTTTTTCTTGTTAATTAATTGTATTGCTTCGGATAATTGCTATCACTTATTTTACGTAACAGAACAAACAAATCAATTACATTTCACAACACATCATAAAAATACACCGCACAGCCACTGACATTGTTAACGAAATACAAGTATTATAATTCCACTAAAAGATATCAAAATGTATATATATGTCTACTAAATTTGCATCTACTGTATTAGTGGTGTTAGTTAATACGTACTAAGCATTACAATAAAGACACAAGCTCTAAAACAGGGTGCACCAAAAACCTTCATCCCAAAGAACTAAGAAAAACGAACCAGTGTTATAAGAAAAGGGAGTTGTTTCACCTGGTTGTGGGGCCGAGTCATATGGGCTTCCGTATGGCTGCTGTGGCGGTGGATTAAATCCCGGTTGTCCAGGGTATGCACTTGGTGGCGGTGCACCTGGATAACCTGGTGGTGGTGCAGGATATCCTGATGGAGGTGCACCAGGGTAACCACCGGCACCCGGAAATGGTTGCTGCGGTGGTGGACCTCCATAGTAACCTTGGTTTCCTATTCATAAAAAAAACATGTGATATGTTGTCAGTTGGTAATTCCCTAGTGATTACGATGAAAGTCATATCTTTAACCTTTTCTCTGTTATTCATTATCAGTAGAATTAATTGTGAAACGTGTAAGAATGACTACACATTTCAGGAAACAATAAAAATATGTTGAAGTTTGAGTTTCTTGAGAACGTGAAGTATGAGTAATTGGGATAATGAACAATATGAACACACTAAAAAACAAATGCTTTTTATTGTACTTGTATTCTAGAAAAGCAAAATTTTATTAATCCTATTAGAAAGTTTGAAATGGGAAAATAATAAAGCAGTTTTTAAACGTATTGATATGGTCCCACCACAAAAACAGTTGTACAGCACAAATTCATTTTAATTTAATTATACCACTTTATGTGTTGATTTAATGACGATATAACGTCATAACCTTTTTTAGTTTTTATCGTGTAATTATTTGTATCCAGTGTATTAATCCCCTAAAAATTACGACGAATTCTGTTTAGTTCCAAATATGTTGGAGAAAAAGCACTTTGAAGTAGTGTTAATGCATCAGTATTCTTCATTGAACAAAGATCCCTAATTATAACATTTCATTTTCTAGAAGAAAAAAAAGATTTATCTAAGATTTGCTAAAATCGTCGTCGTTCAACAAGACCTTACCAGATCAAAGTGGTAACACGATAAAGAAATTGACAAATTTTCGATGTAGAAGCTGTTTGTATAACTTACTAGTCCGAATTAGTTTAAAACTACTACCTGTATGGGGATAATTAGACAAAGTTTGGTTAGCGTTTAACTATCTAAACAGTACTCATAACATATATATATATATATATATATATATAAAATTTGACAACAATCAGTCCTGTGGTTTCGGATATTAACAGGCAGACAGACAGAGGAAAACGGGAGCCCTATTGTTTCGTACTCCAGGCGTTATAAAACGTCCAGAAAACATGAAAGTAGATATCCATTTGAGGGACCCTAGTATAATACTTCCTTAGCCTACGCTGGCGAAGTAAAAAACCGTATTTATTAAATTATAAAAAATTTCGTTATGTATGGTCGACCAGAATTGCATGTAGTATATTGCGGAAACAAAAACAAGCACCCTGTATACTTGAAAACTTGACAAGTTTATACTTTTCACATAATCCTAGAAATACCATGCCATCTGTTGAATATGTATACACGTACAGAGGATTTAAATATTGTACTGAATTTAAGAAAAATAACACGAATTAGTAAGGTTTTATAGGCAAAACATTTACACCACGAATTTTTTAAATCAACGAAAATCAAGCACTATTCAGTAATAACAAACACACTTTTAAGGAATAAAAAATTGGTCGAAGGCTATTTTGATGGAACTTCCCTCGCCCTTGAAGATGATCCTACAAATCCCGCTTTTTTTTTTTAATTATAAAACTTGATTTTACCATTTTCGTTTTCTGATAACCTCTACAAAGTAAAAACCAGTGTGCTGCATATGAAACATATTTAAAATAGATAACTAACAGGAAAAAATGAGATATTCTCAATTTCTCAGTACATGCTTAAATTCAACTGTTTATGTTTATATGCACTTCGAGAGAATTAGCACGTTTGAAGAAAATATTGTCAGATGACGTCATCATTTTTGCGGAGAAGGAACAGAAATGGAGAAATTTTGATTGACTATTTAGCATGCTTCCAATAATCTTAAAGTATTTGCAAGATTTCATAGCATTCGGTTTTGCAATTTCAAAATCATACAATTTTGATTTTTTTTTTTAAATCTGGATGTTTAGGGTAAAACTCAACACGGACTCATAAATCACAAGTACAGGAGTATCCTATTTTATAAAATCGAACACTTTGACAAATCTAAAAACTAGAAATCAAGAACTCGACAAACTGAAGAATTGGAAAATTAAAAAATGGAAAGATTAAAAATTGACAAACTTAAAAATCGAAAACAGGAAATATTGAATATTACAAAAATCGGAAAATCGAGAAACTGAAAAATGAAAGATTGAAAATTTGAAAAATTGAATGAACGAAAAATTATAAAATCGAAAGGAACATAAAAAAAAAATAAAGGAAATGAAAAAACGAAAAATCGCGATATCAAGTGGAGAAAATGAAAATTAAAAACTCGGGAAAATGAAAAACAAAGATGAAAAACGTAAAAAATTGAGGATACGAAAAATTGAAGATTCAAAAAATTAAAAATTGATAAACCGAACAATCGAAAAATGAGAAACTGTCATATCGAAAAATTGGAAAATTTGGAAATCGAGAAATTGAAAAATTGAATAAATTAAAGTCGAAAAAACGAAAAATTGTGATCAAAAAATTAGTCAAAGGTAAATAAATCCAGATTTTTCGAAAAAATACAATTTTAACTTTGCGAAATTTATTTTTTATGATAACCGTTATAAGTTAAAATAAAGATATGTATGTAATATTAAAGTAAATGTAAAGAAGCATGCTACGCGTTTGTTTTAAGTGAGTTTTTCCATTACAAAATTGATGACGACAACATTTTTGCAGAAATGGAAAAATTTGGATTAGACTATTTAGCATGCTTTCAATAATCTTAACATATTTGCAGGATTTCACAGCATTCCGTTTTGCAATTTCAAAATTATACAATTTTGATTTTTTTTTTCAAAAATCTGGATGTCTAGGGTAAAACTCACACGGACTCATAAACCACAAGTACAGCAATATCTTGTTTTATAAAATTTAAATAATATTTACAAACGTAAATTTTGGTAAGGATGACATGCCAAATTTTGGTTAGCATTTTACCATCTACACGATAAGCATATAAAATTTGATAACAATCGGTCCTGTAGTTTCAGAGATTATCTGTTTAATAAAAATCCAGACAGACAGACAAAAACGAGAGACATATTTTTTCGTACTCTAGTGGCCATGAAACGTTGAGAAAACATGTAAGTTGTCAGTCGTACTATAAACTCGATTACGATACTTTCTTAGCTTATGCTCAGGAAGTAAAAATTAATACATCACTCTGATACTCACAATTTTTATAATTCCGAGCAAACATTTACAAAATCTTCATGAATCAATTATTGTCAATATCGTGTTTTTACGTGTCTTTATTACGTTGTCAACAAAATATGTGATGTGGGTTTATCTTCGAAAAATTGAATACATTTTTTCACGTCAATTGTACCAAAAATGATTCACGTAATAAAATGCTATATTATAATAATAATAAATCTGACTCATCTGATAATTCAGCTAGATTCCCGTATCAGGTAAAACAATACGACAATGCTCCGACCTCTTCCGTTGTCTCAGTTTTTCATAATGAAATTTTTAGCAAGAGTACATATCGTTTTATGTAACCAATAAAATATATTGCTTCATTCACTAATTTCTTTTAATCACTCTGTATAAGCAGTTCTAAAAAACATGAATGCCTGCAAGAGCAGACTAAATAATATTTTGCATATCTTAAATAGCATCTATCCGGCAAAATTTGAAGTTGATTTATGACGATTTAAGCTTTTGGAGGACAAACAGATAAATTTTTATTAGCGATTTACCATGTTACCATGCCTGCGATAACCTTACAACGTTCGCAATATTTCAGCATTCAATTTTAGTGTCTACCTGAAACTGTAAAATGTAATTTTTGTTTCCAAAAAAACTGCATGTTCAAGGCCAAAAATAAAGGCTGACTTATAAACCACACATACAGAAATATGTTATTTTATCAAATTTAAGTAGAATTTACTCTGCAAAATTTTGTTGTAGTCAACAGAAGACAGACGACAGATAAACGGAAATGGAAGACCAACTTTTTCGTTCTCTATCGACTTTGAAAAGTCGATATAGAAAATCCCTAACCACCTGTATAACAATAATTCAATCGACACAATCTTCTTTAAAACGTTCCATAAAATCAAACAAACTCACGAAAGGTTCAAGTCATTGTTAGGATGTCACCAACAGTCACGATCAAACTTCTCACCCTTCTATACATAGAATGGCATAAAGAATTCATACTCAGCTTGATGGAGAAATCCCGCCCACTCACGAACGTCAAGTTCTAGCCTTGACACAGACTGTAAACAAGTTCAAAGCAGAAGAAACACCTGCAGTGCTCAACACTGACCATCAAGCTCTCTGTTGATTAATGAACCTGAAGTCTTGACAATAGCAGACACTTTATCAGAACCGGAAAATTGCTGTGTTGATCGATGTACAACGAAATCCTTCATAGAAAACATTTCTTGCCAAAATAAATTAGAATCTCTGGGAAGTTAAGTGACTATTACACAATTTTTGTTCACAAGCTCTGACTTTGAATCATTATCCTGTAAATCCCCTTTTTCTATTCCTGTCTTTTATTAATAAGATAATATTCACATCTAAATAGTACATAAAATAATCGATAAAATGGTAATTAACTGCATTATGTCCCTGTTATTAACTTCATAATAATGACCAATTTCGCATGGAAATTAGAACTATGGTGATCAAAACATCAGCAAATGCATTAACGTAGTGTTTCTACATTGTTAATTTATATGCACTTTAAAAGTACATCAGTTTTTATTAAAATTACAGAAAAATGGCATACCAATTGAACCCTTTATAGTCAAAAATAAGCCCTTGTATGGAGTATAAAAATGTGTCTTAAAAATGTCAACATTCTCAAAAACTCAAACACAACTCACGTGAATTGACGATAAACGTAACTTCATGGTTCGAAAGTCAACACTTTAACAATTATTTTTCTACATACCTTGTGGATAGGGTCCACTATTCCAAGACATCCTGCAAACAATAAGTTGGTAATTCACTTGTACTCTATTAAAGCACTATGACAAGATAAAATATCTCGAATAAATTTGTGGACAAAACCACACTTTATAGGTGCGTGAGTCATCATTCGGATAAAAATCAATAAAGTAAAGCTAAATATGTACGCATTACGTCTGTAATAAGTGTATTCGATAAAGCTAAAAACAAATGATAACAAATTTCAAAATATTGATCAGTGTCAAATCATATAGAAGTAAAATTACAGGTTATTACCTAGCGGAAAATACGCCCCATAAATTTACTGTACATGAACGGAAATGCAAACAACAATATGGGTCATGGCACTAATTTTATAACTAGTTTTTACCTTTATAAATCTATCTTCCAGTTACTCAATATCGTGAACCTAAAGCTGACCACAAAAAATAACAAACACTGGTGAACTGACAAAAGACCACTTCACGTTTTTTCGGAAATTATCTGGAAATTGTTAAATTGACATTTGACAGCATACATGACGCAGAATCACACCGCACACCGCACACAACACCAAAACACACGGCACAAGAAAAGGAGACATGCGCAGTGGAAATTCGATGTACAGAACAACACATCGAACTATAAGAAACAAAAAACATGAAAACAAAATTTTTCTCTTGAGGTTCTGTTTCGTATAGGATGCATAAACAGCGGCACGAGGTAGTAGAATTTTTAACAATATACTTATTTTTCCAATTACCGCGAAATCGCAACCATTCAAATAACGTAACATTAGCCTCGCGTCAGATCAATTTTGAACTTAATTTTAAAAGCAAGGTTACGATCACATCAGTTGTCCATTTAACATTTCTCCGAAAAAAAATTCTGGAAAAATTTATCGAAACATTAACATCGAAATTCGTAGAAATGCATCGATGATATCATCGTCAGACTCATCGAGTCATCGATGTAATGCGCATTCACCAGTGTTTTCCTGGTGTTTTCGTTTAGTGTTTTCGTGTTCTCACAGTTTTTCATTTTCAGACGTCAAAATTAATTAATTTATATTATTAAAAAAATGGCTAAAAAGACATATGATTTACTATTCAAATTGCTCCTAATTGGTGACTCCGGGGTTGGAAAAACGTGTATACTATTCAGATTTTCTGATGATGCGTTCACAACAACTTTTATATCAACTATAGGTAAGTTAACCTTTGCTCTGAACTTGTTTATTGTTCTGTATGAAATGGTCATTTAACACAAAGAGAATAGTGTCTTAATCAGTTCAGTTAATTGCTTTTTCTCATAAAGTAGAATAAACTTTGTAGTGTATTTTTAACCACACAGGGTGAGGTCATATTAGGCGCCAAATTTAAACCGCTGCTTTTTAGGTATAGATTTTAAAATTAAAACTGTCGAATTAAGGGGTAAAAAGATTAAACTTCAAATATGGGACACCGCGGGGCAGGAAAGGTTTCATACAATTACAACTTCTTACTATCGAGGTGCCATGGGTATAATGTTAGTTTATGATATAACCAATGAAAAAAGTTTTGAAAACATAGTCAAATGGTTAAGAAATATAGATGAGGTAAGGTACACGCAAGCCATAAAATAGAGAGGTTACAGGGGACATTTTCAGCATGCGAATGAAGACGTGGAGAAAATGATCCTTGGTAATAAGTGTGATATGTCTGACAAAAGAACAGTGAGCAGAGAACGAGGAGAAACTGTAATTATAAAATAATTACTTCAGTTCGTTTTATTTTATATTGTGTTTTCAGATTGCACGTGAACATGGCATTAGATTTATGGAAACATCTGCAAAAGCCAATATAAATATAGATAAAGCTTTTAATGACCTTGCCGAGGCCATCTTAGATAAGACAGCAGGCAGAGAACCAGGTGATCATGTTGATAGGGTATTGGTAGATAGAAAACAGCAGTCAAATACTTCCAGATCTTGCTGTAACAATTAGTTCTAAGTATTTCAACTTTTTCAATTAATCTTATGCATAAGAACTGATTTCTAAAAAAAAATTGTTACTCTGAACAAGTTTTTTTACCATTTACAAAATAGTCTAAGAAAAGTAAAAAGGGAGAAGTCAGTTCATTTGTGCTGTATGTGTCATAAACCAAAAATCTGAGTGTAGGTGTAGTTGGAATCAATTCTACATGGCAAATATTGCTGAAAGCTTCTGATTTTTGGTTTCAGATTTTGAAATATTCAAATCTTTTAAAACGAAATTACAGAGGCACAAATGTTTAATTATATATTATAAATGTGCTTTACTTATTGTATGGTAAATGTCAAGATACAAATTATTTTTTAATATATTTAATATAAGCCATTTGCTTTAAAATAAACTTATCCAGTGTGATGTAGAATACGATGATGTACTTCACTGATGTGAAAAATTTTCACATTTTTGTATAGAATTACATTTTGTAATATGACAATTTTTTAGATATTTCGCTCACATCAACGTAATCATTTGAATGAGTATTTGATGTTTAGGTGCAATTTTATCAAATGTTTTCTATCATAAATAAAAAATTGTTGCTTTCAACATTATATTTGTTCAATTAAAACTTGATATTAAATTTAAGCAGGACAAACCAGAGAGACTCGAATCGAACTTAAGTTTAGGATTAGTTTTATGTTAGTTTTTTTTATATAATGAAGTCATTACTGAATTTGGTTGTTGAAGATCGTTGTGTATTATTTAATTGGGTTGCCAATGGTTCTCTGGTCCTGTACATTAATGTGTGTATGTGCTAATTTTTTAAGTTCGTCATATACATGTTTTTCGTTTGTAGAAAGTATTCAGTTTAATGTAGAAACTTGCAACGATTTATTTACGTGTATAAAATATGCTTTTCCAAAAATAAAGAAAACAAAATAAATGTCATTTTTATCCATATTCTAATGGAGGTACTTCCGTGTTATCCTCAAATGACGGTTTATCACTCTTTTCCACGATTTTACTGAAGTCCATTTCGTCGTTTTGTTGAACATCTAAAAAATTCCTAAAACACTAGCATTACAAACAGTACAAATTTGGAACCTTCAATTCGTACTTCTTATCGTTTGTTTTTAATAACATAGTATTCTCTTTACGTTTTAGTGGCTTGCAGTTAGCCCGAGGCATATCAAGAACTAAATGTCCGGTGGTTTGAGACCTTCTAGCTGTACTTTTATCAACCAAAATTTCTTCCGAAAAAACTATCTGAAAGACCTTTCCTTTAACGGTTATTCTTACATAAATCGGTTGCAAATCAACTTCAATTAAATTCGTGTCCAAGTGCCTGAAAATTTTTCTTTCACACAAGTAATCAATCAACTCTAATGTGTATACTTATAGACCGCTAAATCGAGAACAAACTTCTCTGGATCATCATCCAGGAATTTAAAATTTAATTTCGCCTGATTGACATTTAAAGGTCTACCGCTTTTAGAAAACAATGAAACCAACTTCTTTTGCGGTTTTTCCTCTTCAAGTTCTTTCGATTTTCTGGATCTTCGCGATATTTCGACCCTAGTTTCTGGACAGTGTTCACTCGTGCTTCTCCAGAAATCTTCGTCACTGATTGTCGGATCATGATTATGCCCAACTCGTGTTTTTTGTTCCGTTCTAAAACGCGCATATTCTTGCTGCGCTTCTTTAACTTTTATTTCAGCTGAAGATATATTTTGTTTTGCTTTTATTCGCTCACTTTTTGTAATCTCCGTTCCATCCAAAGCGAGCAATTGAGGAAGTTTGGCAACGACATACTGGCGATAAGCGTCGAAATCGCAACAGGGATTTCCAGTCAAGTACAGATGTTTTAAATTAAGATTGTTCTGTAACGAACAAACACTTTCCAAATCGCCGATAAAGTTTAAAGTGAGGTCTAGTTTTTCTAAAGACTCGCAACGTTGCAAATTTTCAATTTTTTCGATATTGTTTACGGCTAGATTCAGATATTCCAACTTTTTTAACTTGTTTAGGTTTTCTATTGTGGGGATTAAATTAGCTTGCAGGTAGAGGATTTGTATGTCTTTGCACCAGTTATTTATGTGTTCGATTTTTTCGACGTCTTCTTGGTGAAGAGACAGTTCTTCCAAAGTCCCGATGAGACCCTCGTTATGTTCCGCTTTTTTTCTGATTAAGTCTTCTGTAACTGTTAATTCAAGACGTAGAATTGACCTTAAATGTAATTTTTACTTACTTCTGACCATCCTGCCAGATTGACAGGTTACTACTATAGTTACACTGTATTGATAAAACTTTTCGTGAAGGAATGGGATGCTGAAATGGAATCAATAATTTAAGCTTTACATTAACACGTCATTTATTTCAAAATATACATATTAAAATCATAAATACATAACAACTTATAAATCATTTATTATATAACTTTGTAAATAAAAAAATAACGGCGCGCTGATCAACATTATTTGATTAAAGGACTGATGGTCACCTTTTAACCAAATAACGCGCAACTAAATCGCATTCTACAGCAGCAAGCGTATGAGATGCATTGCACTAGTTTTGCATTTGATATAGAATCCTGCGTTTATGTTTTTCTGTTATCAATTTTAACATTAAGTTTATATAACGGGAAAAAAAACAACACAAACGTACACTGGTTAAAATTAAAGAAAATCTTTGGTACACAACTACAAATATTATAAAAATGCTACGAATATGCCCTACATTCTATAATTACTATGAGATTCATATCGCCAAAAGAACAACTTAAATACCTGATACTCTTCAATAAATACAAAAAACTGATTGTTTAAATAATCATTAAATTACTTTATTTACATTTTTAATTTACAGTTGTAACCACTTACTGATACGTCACTTTCTTCACTCATTCATAAAAATGAAAGATTTACAAAAATCGCAAAACTCTGATATTTTTGTATGAAATTAAAGATATATTTTATATACATTAAAATTAGTACTTATAAGTACAGGTGTAATGATATTTGCGTATAAATATCTATCAAGACTAACGATATAGAATTCACTCAAAAACTCCATGACGAATTGATACTGAACCACATAAACAACAAATAAAAATACACTCAAAGAATAAAATTGGTCTTTAAAGGAAGAATGTAAAAGTTCATGGAGTAACTCTTAATAATACTTACATTCGAATAAAATAAACAACTTATAAAGCAAACAGGCTCTTTTCGTCCTTTGCGGGATTATTTCGTGAATTGGTGCTGTTGGTACTACCTGTAACAGTTGGCAACTGCTCCGCAGCTGCCGCCCTTTCGGCTAAGAAGCGCTCAAATTCGCTACTTGTTACCGATTCTTCTCCCCCTGTCTGTAGATACACAAAGAAACAATTTATTTATTAAAAAAATATATGTACAAATTGTTGTCAATGATTGTAGAGGTAAATGAAATTACAACTTTTCAATCAAACAGTTGCTGCTTGTAATTTTCGACTGTAACATTCACTAAAAAATTAATAGTGTATTTTAGTCAGGTTGGGAAACATCGTGTTTCTCTGTTGGTATTGGTTAGTAATAAGTTTGTCGGAACACAAGTTACTACACAGCAAAACCTCATGCTTGTCAAATACACATAAAATAAGCACTATATTAATCAGGCGCATTTTCAAAACCCAACTATCTTACTTAAAGGAAAATCTGTTACATTTTATAACTACACACAAACGAGCAAATCAAAAATAAACACAAGTTAAAAATGGACATTCCAAAATTCAATCCCACTTTTTTGAAAATACAAAAATACAACAAAACACTACCCTAACTAAAAACTGTATAAGCTTTCAATTAATTTCTAATTTTTTCCAGCATACCGACAAATATGTTCCACTTTTAAAAAAATTAAGTCAGTAAGTATATCGATATTATTTAGCTTTCTGAAATTTATGTCTTGTGACTTTCAATATTTTTTATTTTATTATTGACCGTATAGACGAGTCCAAAATTTAATATATACGTACTTTAACTTGTATTCTGAGCTGAAACTTTCAGTAGCAATTTTCATATAAACATATTAAATCTGTCTTTTGTTGCAAAATATATACAGGGTGACTCACTATTCCTCGACATCTCATTAATTATTAGAAATAGAAAAAAGGTCATACTTGCTGAGATGAGACGGATTTTGGAAAATTACATATCCTTTAAGAAACTAAAGGGCGGGTGGGCGGGGCTTAAAATTTGATAAGATAAGACTGTTTTTGACATTTTTGACATATCCAGAAATCATTTTCGGTTTCTATTATTAGTTTTCCCTTCCACTCAACAGCAGAACATAATTAGCCCCGCCCACCCACCCTGTCTCCTTTTCAAGGATTGATTTTCTGCAATCTGAATGAAATGAATGACCTTAAACTGAACAGAAATAGAATTTGTCATTAGAAGGAGAAAAGGGTGGGTGGGGCTAGTACTTGCTAACATAGGATTGACTTTGGCCAATAACATACTCTCTAAGAAAATAGAGGGTGGGTGGGCGGGGTTTAAAATTATATAAGATAAGACTGTTTTTGGCATTTTTGACATATCCAGAAATCATTTTCGGCTTCTATTATTATTTTTCCCTCCCACTCGACAGAAGATCATAAGTAGTATTTGATAAGATAAGACTGATTTTGGCGCTCTTAACATTTTCGACCTTTTTTCAACTATTTCCAAAAATTATTGAAGACATTTTCTTGTACATTTCGATATCCAGAAGTCATTTTCGGTTTCTATTATTAGTTTCCACTCCCACTCGATAGAAGAACAAAATTAGCCCCGCCTAGCCACCCTGTGTCCTTTTCAGTGATTGATTTTATGCGATCTGAATGAAATGTATAATCATATAGTGAACAAAAATAAAATTTGTCATTAGAATGAGAAGAGGGTGGGTGGGTAGGGATAGTACTTGCTAAGATAAGATTGACTTTGGCAAATAACATATCCTCTAATAAAATAGAGGGTGGGTGGGCGGGGCTTAAAATTTGATACGATAAGACTGTTTCTGGTACTTTTGACATTTTCGACCATTTTTCAACCATTTCCGAAAATTGTTGAAGACATTTTCTTGTACATTTCGATATCTAGAAGTCATTTTCGGTTTCTATTATTAGTTAGCCCTCCCCCACTCGACGGAAGAACATAATTAGCCCCACCCACCCACCCTGTCTCCTTTTCAAATTCTGATACGATATTGCCATGTTATTCCAATTTTCTTGATTTTTTTTTAGCACTGGAAGGGTTTACGGAAAAAATAGCAGTAGAGTTATTTTTAAAATCTATGGTACAATATTTTGTGGCGATAAATATAGGTACGCGCTTTGTTGTGATATAAATAAAATGAAATCTTCATATACAAAGTGTTTATATATATAATTTTATTTTTACGATATTCAAATATCGATATTTCAATTTTTTAAAATAGAATTTAAATAGAGTATTTTCGAGTTCTAAGTTGATACTTACTGCGATTTTTTACTTTTTTAAGGGACATCAATATATTTGAAGAATGAGAACAAAAAATACAGTAATAAAATATGGGGCGTTCTATTTGAAAGAAGTGAAATATCGATATTTGAAAATTACAAAGTTTTAGAATTTTTTTATAGCACCATTGTATTAAAATTTGATTTAAATTGACCATAAAATATTGTGATAGTTTTTAAAAATAACCTTATTGCGATGTTTTTGGAAACCATTGTCATATTCCTTTGTCAAATTTTCTTAAAAAATTGAAATAACGTGGCAACGTCGCATCAGAATTTCCGAAATTAACTGTGGTTATGAAGCCAAGGAAAAGGGTAATAAGACTATTAAAAATATATGGACTGTTTCATTAAAAAAAGTGTCTATTACGTCTTAAAAACGAAACCTTTTGGTATACTTAAAAAAATATATATATTTTGAGTATTCTGCTCAAAGAACCGACCAACTTTGGTCTTTGACTTTTTTTCTATCTTTAATAATAATTAATCAGATATTGAGGAGTTGAGGACCGGGCGCCTAGTGACTCACTCTGTAATATACTATGACCTCGATAATATACCAGGTGTGTAGAAAATGGCGGATTAACTCTCCCCTACGCTCTTAACAATCAACTGGTGAGTCTGGGAAAAATATATTATAGAGTTATAATGATTTTAAAATTGGTTCTTTTGCTACGCTTAACAACTACTAATAAATAACACATTTATTATCATAATAACTAGCAATAAAACTTTCAGCTCGTAATTTGATAAAATTCCATTTGACAACAAAGTTTTTAAAACCCTACGTTTAAAGTGTTCGCAGTTAATTTTGGGTCCCCTGGTGTTTTATTTTGGAATAAATTTACAGGAATCTGGTGTTTTGTTGCTGAATGAACTTGAAAAAATCTTTTGAGCTTTTAGTGTTTTATTTTTTACCAATTTGAAAGTCTTGAGTGCCGCAGTTTTTTTTTTAATTCGGGAGATTCTTGGGTACCCATGGTGTATTATTTTGGGAGCCCATGGAAAGGTTCTAGGTATTCCTGTTTGGAAAGAATTTGAAGGTGCTTTGGAGCCTCTAGAGTATTTTCTTATAATAATTAAATTTCTTAGAGGATATGTCATTTGCTAAAATCAGTCTTATCTTAGCAGGTACTAGCCCCACCCTCCCGCCCTCTATTTTCTTAGAGAATGTCATTTGCCAAAATCAGTCTTAACAGGTACTAACCCCGCCCACCCACCCTCTCTTTTCTTGGAAGGTATGTCATTTGCCAAAATCGGTCTTATTTTATCAGTTCCGCCCTTCTATTTTCTTAGATAATATGTCATTTGCCAAAATCGATCTTATTTTAGCAAGTTCTAACCCCGCCCACCCGCCCTCTATTTTCTTAGAGGGATCTCGTTTGCCAAAATCAGTCTTATCTTATCAAGAACTACCCCCGCCCACCCACCCTCTCTTTTCTTAGAAGGTATGTCATTTTCCAAAATTAGTTTTATCTTAACAAGTACTGACGACTGACTAACTTTTACAAAAAATGATCAAAATTTGAACGAGCTTATTTATAGGCACAAGGCAGGAATTTTGAACATTTTCTCTAGTGTTTGGTTGGTTTTGCTGTAATGGATTTTTCTTTTGTTGGTTGTGTTTTTGTATCTGATTTATAAATGTCTTATTAAATGTTTTTTGGGTTTATTTATTAATGAAATGTAACAGCTTGTTTTATTAATGATAATGCACAACGATTAATGACTACTGGTTGTTACGGTTATTGGCCTAAAAAAAATAAAAGGCGGATTTCAGTCACCATCGGTACTAAAAAATCAGAAAATAAGCCCCAAATTACTGTTTTCGTAATCTACATCATAAAGAATTTTTTTATTATTTTTTTGGGACTCCCGAAACAGAACGTACTGAAGAGTTAATTCGCCATTTTCCAGACACCCGGTGTATGAACGAAATTTGAAACCTTAAAAGAAAAATAAATGCAGGACATTTGATCCATGACTTACTCCTGTAAATATAAAAAATAAAATTTGAAATTGTTACTTATTTGGAAAAAAAATCCCCCCAAAAAGTGTTCCAAGACAGAAGAACAAGACCCTCTCAAGATGGTCTAGGAGGAAAATTAGGAAAAATAATGACCAATAATCGACTAACTTTGCTTTTTTAGCAAAAAACTTCGTTCAATACTAGGACGAGTTTATCAAACGTAAATTAATAATAATTAATGGAATATCAAATACTTAATGGTGCATTAAGCCCTGATCTTGAGAACTTGATTAGTTGGATTTGATCAGTAATCAATTCATCGCATGATTAACTCCACGCTTTTAAAAACCGGATCTAAAGTTCTGCTCGATAATCACAAAATCAATACTAATTGCCTTACCAACACTTTAAAGAAGTTCTTGCGTATTTTACTAAATGAACTGTAAAATTTAATATTTTAGATTTATTTTGTAAAAATTAACCGTACTCAAGTTAACAAAAAAAAAAAAAAATTAAGTATTTAAAACAAAAATACAGCAGCATATCCCGGGTCAGTTGCACGCAAACTATCTGCGTGGTAAGGGACAATTGCGCGCAACGGTCAGAAAAAATTGTATCTAGTTTTAAGGGTTAATACCATGAAGAGTTGCGCCTTTCATAGCATTTTACGTGGGTGTTAGCCACATTACGCATGTATTTATTAAATCATCAAGTATGTATGTAAAGCTGTTTATACAACTTCTATTAGTATTATATAGCAATACAAAATTTTAAGAATTTTTTAAGTAAGCTTTGATCATGTATAGGAATAAAATTTCCACAATGACGAGGTATATTTCTAATAATTTCAGTGTGTGTGGGGATCGTTATTCTATTTTCAACCATGCAATTTTAAGAAAACCACACTAAGGTAATTTTACGAAAAAACGTTAAAACCGACTGCGGCAAAAGGTGTAGAATCGCAATACGAAACGGGAAGATACAAACCCAAAATGTGAATTTATAAATGAAATTATGCACTAGCCAATTTGTTAAATCGCCACTGACTAATAATCATTCTTAGAATTACCAAAATTTGAACCTTTTACACAAAATAGAAAAATATGCATTAAAAGCTTGCCCTTCCAGTACTAAGTATTTGACTCAGAGCAAATAAAGTAGAGCGAAATCAACGTATAACGTCATACCGACATCCACTTGATCAGGTTCTTAGAATTTGCAAGGTGATCAACTAAAAACTGTGGTATCTGATATAGTTTTGTTTGTTCCGGCAGAATAATACCGAAAAAATGAATTTGCGTCACAAACAACTTCTACATTCCAATTTTATATATTTTCCTGTATGCAGTTTTTTAGTTATCTCGTAGTATTCGTAATATATTTACATAAAGATTCTAGTTTTTGTACAAATGTAATAAATTTTTAATTTTTGAAATACTTACATTAGTTTTTGTGAAAATTTTTACTATTAAACTAAGTGACAGATAACCATCGTACCATTACATATATAGCGAATTGGTTGCTGGCAGTATGACGTCATGTTACACACTCACCTGCTTCTACAATGAAATTGTTATAATTCAAAAACTACAAGTACTAAAAAAGCAAAGTTTGCTGTTTTTACACAAATACCTAAGTTCAAATTTGGGTTTATTAATCTTTCAAGTGAATATAAATCTACAGTCGCTTTCATCAAACTCTATATACCTATACTCTATATAAAAACGAAAACAAGCAAAGCACTTACTGTCTGACCAAGCCACTGTGCCATTTCGTCAAACTCAAGATCTGGTGGACTCTGCAGTAGGTAACACATAAGCTATACTAAGCATTACATTGAACAAAATGAATGGAAATGTGTAGATGCAACCGATAATAAAATAAAATACAGTGATAGTTGCATTTACAATCATGCCCTAGATAATAATAATATTTTCAAAAAACAAATCCACTTACGTTTTGTTTTCCCTGAGTGACCGTGCTTAAACCTCCCGAAATCTGATCCGGTTCTAAATTATCCTTATATGAACTGCCGCTAAAAATAAAAATTTGCTACGTTACGTACAAAATCGAACAGTATGTTTCACCTATTTTTAGAATTTTCATAAGACGCATTTCTTGACTGAGCAAACATGTCGAATTCATCATCGCCTTTGCTCGATGCGTTTTTAGCATTCACACTTTCGATGGCGGATAACTGAGTTGAGGCACTATTACCAGTACCTGCATCAAACTTTGTAGAAACGATGGCATTTTGGTGTTGTCTACTTACTTAATTTGTTGAGCTGTTCGGGCAAATCGTCTCCGAAATCTATGAGACTGTCTTCTTGCTCTAGTGGTGGTTTTGTTGTAGGAGGAATGGCTTTAGCCAAAACTGCAGAGGCAGAATGTTTACCGCTGTCCCTGTTTTTCTCCCAACGACTATATCGTAGAAACAAATTGTTTAAATCGTCATTAATGCGCAATAATTCCGCTGTCATTTCGTCGTTGGATAATTTACTTATTAGTTCAACCAACCTCTCCTGCATACTTTGACAAGTTACGTGTAATTCCTACAAACAAAAAAGGCCTGGAGAGACGTAGCTTGGGCGCTAGTTGATGATTATTAGTTAGGATTTTTCCAATTGTACAATTGTTGTTAATGTTACAAGATTGTATTATACATAACAAAGAACTTCGACTCGAAAATGTTAACAACTAGGTTTTATTTTTGTTTAAAACCGTAATACAGACAGAAGCTTATTAACCTGAAATGACCTCAAATTTATCTCATGAACAAAGCTATGGCAATTCGATTGTTTATTGTGCTATTATGTATTATCATAAACGCATTCAATAAAGATAATAAATGCAATAAAAAATCGATTAAAAAATAGCAATGTTGCTGCTAATTCGTTACACAAGACGTCGTAATTTTTTAGTTATTAAAAAGTCCGTAAAGGAATCCATACTATAAGCTGTATTGTCTAGCAATACTAATACCCTGCTATCGAAAGTAAAATGAGTTAGAGTTGGCATTGCCTCGTCAAGTTTTGGATGGTACGACTGGCATAAATCATTGTCACTAGGTGGTGACATAATATGAATAACGGATGCACTTTTCATCTCTGACACTGTTAGCTGACACACACAATAAGACATACGGAGCACGGAATAGTTTGAGTTAAATTTAAAATATTTGTCACTTATTCGTGTTATCTTGAGCTTAAACGCCATTGTTGAGTCATTTTGACGTAAAATATCCGTTTTACACTAATTTGCTATACTTGCTCCCAATATTGTACCAACTATATGATCTCATAGCCAACTGTAATTCATTTTATTTTCAAGGCGTCAGTTTGAATGTCTTAAAGTAAAAAGTTTAAAAGACAAGTGATAATTGCAAGATTACTTTTTGGGTAATAGTTATTATTAAAAGGAACATTTGCTTATACTTTTAAGTTGTCTAGTAGAAACCTCACAATTCTAATATGTTGTTTATATTTTATGCCATATAATCGAAAAAAGTCCTCTAGTAGGCCATGCAATTTATTTTTAAAAATATGTAATGGTGTCGACAATAGCAGCTCGTTCTTTGTTCAGTTTGCAGTTACGATCAAATAACTGTCAAAAAAAGTGACAAATAGAAAGAAAAAGAAATTTCATGGCTTACTAGAAAAACTTTTTTTAATCAGATGGTACTTTATTCACAATGTACTTGATATTTTATACTTTTATACCATATGGTCGAAGAAAAAAAAACTCCTCTAGTAGGCCGTGCAATTTATTTTCAAAATAATGATTTTGATAGTGCAGCTATTTTGACCGTTGGTGTTGCCAACATAATTATTTTAAAACTAAACTGCATGGCCTACTAGGAGTTTTTTTTTTATTCACTACGACTGTGAGTTGTCTGTCAGTGTCAAAAGTCCGAAAATTTTTTTGCACATGTACTTATTTTTTTTCGACCGCCTTCCTCATCTCTATTAGCTCGACTTTTAAAATCTTAGTTAATGGATTTTATTTCATGTAATACTCCAACAAGATATTAAAGCTTCATATTTTCCTCAAATTGTAAAATTTATGCTTCCATATCATCATTTATAAACAACTGAAAAATTACCAAATATACATCTTTTAACATTTAATGTTAAATTTTCATGATGGATATTACTTTAATAATAATAATCTGCGCGTATTTGTAATTTTTTGAGAGTATATGTATATTGCATCTATGGATACCAGTTTTGATGTTCAAAAATAAATTTGTCTTTATTTTCCTTCTTCGTATTCATACATAATTAATTAATGAATTAATTATTCATCATTAACACTTCTTACAAATTAGGTCGAAACAACAGCCACTATGTCAAGCACAAAAATCCAGATACAGGGTGCCGAAAAAATGGCGTACCAACTCTATAACGTGTTGTTGAAGACTGTTTATAATATAGAGAAAAAATAATTTAAAATTCTTGGGTCCTTCAAAATTTAACTTTTATTTTCAATATTTCATCATATTCTAATTCACCACTTTGTGTTGGATAGTTAGTGAAATCAATTAAACTTCCATATCCAAAATAATTTTGGAAGTATCTTGTTTTCTTCATTTTTTAATATAACAAAAAACTTAAATATTGTTTAGGATGAATTAGACAAGTGTGGCTAATTTTTAGTTTTCTGATTTATCGGTCCAAATCCATATTTTTTTTCTATAAGTGAACGTCAAATTGACATCAAGATTTTTTTTATTTTTCCCGAACTTTGACTTGTGAACTTAATAATGTACCGGTGAGTTGGTGCGCCATTTTTTCAGCATCCTGTCCGCTAAAGCATGAAACATCTAGTAGAAAACACAAAAAATCGTAAAAAAAAAAAACATTTTAAATTTGCTTAAATTTAAGGAAAAAAATACTCTGTAGTGTTCAATATTTGTTATTTTTAGACCCACCACTGACCCGAAAATGATCGGCATTTAGGCAAGACTTCTACAATTACAGGTACTAAGACCCAGTAATAATATGCATTGATTAGATTAATATAATAACTTTGGAGATCCTAGAATTATGGCATACATTTATTACTAACACGTTTTATTTGCATTTGTAAAACATTTTGTCCCCTTTGTGTTCATAATAAGTCTATTACCATACGCAATCGCGTATCGCAATAAATACACTAGGTGCTATAATAATTTCACTAAACGTAGTGAAATTTATTTTTTTACTGTTGTCATTACGGAGGAGCTAGCTGCTAGCTGTTACAACTGTCTATCATCTTTTTTCATAGCCGCCATTCATAGTCGTTAGATAGAAAATTAGCTAAAATCTAGATAGGCTTTGTAAAGAAAACACGTTCACTTTTTTCGTTTTGTTTTTTTTTTTTTAGAAAGTAATATTTTCTTTTCGTTATGAACAGAACTATTGTCACGAAATTTTAAATATGTACAGTCAGGAACACGGAATTTCAAACGACAACCAACTTTCTGACATTTCAAAACATTGTAGTCTTATACCTTATTGTCATTATGATTGACAGGTCGTTTGAAATTCCGTGTCCCAAACTGTATAACCTTTCGCTATATAATGGAAAAACAGTTTTTTTATCGTCTTTTTCGTATTTTGGTGAAATTTTTCATACATATCTTTAAAAATCAATATCTATATTATTTATGGAAATTTCGTAACGCAGTTATCACCAATCTATCTATATTAAAAATCTAAAGAATTGCACGTTATTAAATAGGGAAGCTAATAGAGATATTTTTTTAATACATAATAAAAAAAATCTACAAAATTTGAAAAATAAAACAATAAATGGTATTTCTGCAATGTTTTCCTTTTCTTTTTTAAGCAATGCATTTACCCATGCATTATTATTCTCCGTTTGCAAATTTAATATCATTACTTTTGGCTAGTAAATACAAAATTTTTCGAGATTTCCTCTTTTAGCTGACTCACCCTATATAATGTTGAAAAACTAGTCATTGACATATTACATACACATTCGAAAAGATTCCAAATAGCAAAGCGGTGGTTTATTACATTAACGAAAATTTAAAACGTTAAAAACCAGCAGTTTTTGTGCTAATAATAGTGATGTGATACTCTGTAGTAAATATCCTGCAATCGAAAATAAATCTCTGCTGCGTGTTTAATTGTTTTGACATTGACAGACAACAGAAATATTTATGTGTCAGTTGTGCAGTAGTACCACCTATACAACTGGTCTCACAGCCAACTCTAATTCGTTTTATCGTTATTTCGGCTTTATATTAACTTTAGAAGGAAAAGGCACATTACAGAAAGATATGTCTATAAAAATTACGCTATGAATAAATGCAATGCCAACACTATTATTTTAAAATTACTTGATTAATTTTTAACAGGTTTTGCCTTATCAAAAAAAAAAAAAATAACAAACTAACAGCAAGTACAAATTTAGTGGGTAATTAATTTACCAAGCTCGATAAGGTTCAGTATAAGGTTTACAAAGTCAAGGTAAACCGAACTAATTTGTAGTTTTCGAATACTTATCGAACCTCATCGAGTTTTGTATCTTTGCCGCAATCTTTTTTCCACACTTCCCGAATAAAATGCAGTGTGCCCAATATATTTTTTAAACCTAAATAATTCAACGATTCCAGATTCTCTATCACCTACAAATAAAAAACAACTGCAAGTATTTTAACGCTTTGAAAGTTTTTGCTACTGGGAATAAGGCATAAACCAGGAATCTGTGGTCACAGAGTAATGAATCTGATTTTCTTCTACAGTTCCATACTCTTTACCCAACTAGCAGAATGAACACAATAAAGATATTTGCCGTTAAAATTTCAATATTTTTCGTCTTTTTCTAAATCAAGCTTCATATTCAAAATACCGAGAAACTCATAAAATTTGGATAATCAGCTAATAATGAGCTATAACAACGAGTCTTAAATATATAAAAAAAAATATTAAAAAAACTCTGTTATAACGCAAGAAAAAACGCAATTTTTTCTTACACTGTGTTTATATAGCAGCAAAAATATTAAGGGTTCCATGTTTTACTTATACATATTACATATGTATTTTTTAATCCACACAAGTCTACAGCGATACAAATGAAGTTGGCCAAGGCGCGTAGCAGAAACTGTGACTTGGAATACTTAATTGTAAATCCAAATTTTTCGTCAATTTAGTTTTATTGCTTACAAATTAAATGAATTTACGTTTTGTTCAGCTGTCAAACAAGTAGATTTATCATGTCAATATTTATTTGTAAAATGACGACTTCTTTTAACGATGACTCTATGCTGCTTACAACACCTTAAAACACATTTTCGCGCCTCTACTTTTAAAACAAACGACGCAATTTGTTGACAAATAATGATAGTACTTTATTAAATGCATGAAAAATTACAAAACACAATTAAGAAGCCCACTGTCACTCGTATATGTCCACAAACTCTCGAAACCTGAATCATCCACACAAATTTATACAATGTCGTGTCACACATTAACACAACCATTCATTAAAGTGCAAAAAGCATACTAACTTGTAACAATTCCAATTCGTCCGGTTGTTCCTGTCCAGGTTTCATCTCACTTAACATTTCCCCTAAAACATTCATATTACTCTGAACAACATCCAGTTCAGACTGTAATTTAGCCCTTTGTTCGGCCGTCAAATATCCAGTCGGACTAGCAACATGGGGAGTAGGTGATGAATGTTGGGAGACGGGAGTTTCTACAGGAATTTCAGACTCCACGCTCTAAAAGGGGCTTAATCAATAAGGTACATATTTATTTTTTCAAAACTAACGCCTACTCTCTGCGGAGTGTGAATTGGAGCCATAGAATCAAGATCTGTAGCAGGAAACTCTATTCCTTTAGCTAGAAGATCTTGATACACAGAAACCACTCCGGACATCTCCGGCAGGTTTCTGAAAGCGTCTGCCCAAGACTGAATTAAACTCAATACCTTTTCCTGGACAGCTGTAGGTGGGTCGTTTTTAGGGCCGATTAACTTCACCTACGTAACCTTTAGTAGTGGAGTTTGCTGAAAAAGCTTGAACTTACCAATTCTAAAACGAAGTCCTTGTTGCAGATTAAAACGTGGAACTTCTTTCCACAATTCTTTACACAGGTTTCTAAAACGGTTAACGTGTACATAACGACTGTGTAATTTTTTCCTGCGTTTTGGGCAAGGCGCTTTCTAATGGCTTTCACGGCGTCCCTCGGACCATCTTCTGTTTCGTTTACTAGATCGCATATTTCCATATTCAGGCTCCAGTTTTCTGAAGCCAATGTGCCATCTGTGGCTTGTTCTGAAAAGTATTTTCATATTTTGCTAAAGCGGTATATGCGAGAATTTCAAAAAGAAGAGTTATGTGCATTAGGTGATTATAAAGTTGCATGTATACTGAACATTACATTTCTACACAATTTGACCCAAGGAAGATAACCTTCACAACACGCAAATATAAAATCGATGAGATTGCAGCGGAGTTTTGTTATAACTTCAAGTTTTTAAGCTGAGTAGAGAAATTTCTAATTTTATTGAAGTATACAAGTTGTTGGAAAGGTAAAGGATTTAAGTTGCTATTATATTTTCTCGAAATAATCCGACTTACGCAAAGAAGGGTTTCTTTTATTATAAATTAATTAAAAGAAACAGAAACTTCGACAAATAAAAAAATATCGTTCTCTAGATTAACGTTTGAGCAAGATGTTTGATTATATAAATGAATTTAGTGTGAGGCGTACATATAGTACATAGTATAGGTATGCATGTACTTGGTAAAAATGTTAGCCATTTCTACACTGACAAGTTAAACTGCTTCAATAATTTTGAAAATACGAGAATTTTAACAGATAAAAACAAATTGAATTTTAATACTACGTGAAATGTATAGAAATATTCATCAATAATATTAAAATCTTTTAGGATTATCTTATTTTTAATTTCGCTTAACTTCCGCAACTAATTTCAATGACAAACTGGTCTAATTCATCCAAGGACAAATTACTAACCATCACAATTTTTTCAACAATGGAAGCATATAATACAAAGTTTGAATGAAATAGTACTCAGCGTTGTTATCGTCCCAATCTCTCTCTATTTCATTTTTAGATTTTTAACCATATTTTTGAATTAAAGTTTTATTCAGTTAAAACTCTAGTTGTAAAATTAGTCTATTTCAAATTAAGTAGTTACTTTTATTGCTATTATCCCCGCTAATCAAAAAGTGTGTGTTAGAAACTTCAATATGGGAACTGAGTTCCATCTTGAAAAAAATAGTGTTATGTAATTAGACGGAACTCCCCTGAGTCCATAAATACAGTCAAACAAATCCAGTGTTCTAAAAATATATATAGATGATATTCAGTTGATCAGTTGCATTCCTATTATATAAAACTCTGGGGTAAAAAAATCAAGGCGGATTCATAAACTAGGAATACAGGACATGTCATTTGAAACATTTTGGTTCGGGTTTTACCATCTACACGACACAGAACACATATAAAATTTGACAACAATCGGTCCGGTGTTTCGTAGATTATATGTCTAATAAAAATCCACACAGGCAACCAACCGACGGCAGACAGGCGAAAACAGGAGATCTATTTTTCATACTCTAGGGGTCAGGAAACGTCAGAAAACAGCCATATTGCAATACTTTCTCAGCTTACAACGGTTTAGTTAGTAAATCAATTTTTAATCATAATTGAAAATTTTCCAAAACTGAAAACGTGAAAAATTGAGAAAATTAAAAATCGAACAGCCGAAAATTTTTAAAACCGAAAAACCGAAATCTCAAGAATCGAAACATCAAAAAACCGTAAAATCGAAAAATGTAAAATTTAAAAATTAGTTATCAGGAAATCGAAAAATCTACTATTGAAAAAGTTGAAAACTTGAGAAATCGAAACCTTAAAAACCCAAAAATTCAAAAATCTAAAATTGAAAAGTCGATAAACCGGGAAATCGAAAATCCAAAATTTAAAAAATCGAAAAACTAAAAAATCGGGAAATGAAACGAAAAACTGGTAAATCGAAAAGCGGAAAAGTGGGAAACGGAGAAATCGAGAAGTCGAAAAATCGAAAAGTTGAGAAACTGGGGTGCGATTTTGTTTCTCGATCCAAGTGATAAATTATCACTTGCGATAAATGTCATTGCGTAGCTTTTAAATGCAAAAGTTTGCATTTATTCTTTGCATATTAGATGCTCAAACGTTTACAATTACCTTAATTTTAAGAACTTATAACTCAGAACTACGATTTTGAACTGCTATTTTGACATAAATTTCGAGGTTATCTCACCCCTGAACAATCAAAAAAATCTAAAGCTCGATAAATTGAAACATCGAAATAGCAAAAAATTAAAAAAATCGAAAACTTGGAAAATTGAAACCAAGAAATATCTAAGAACCGAAATACATATCCAGAAAAATTAAAAAATCAAAACATGAAAAAATCGAAAAATTGAAAAATCTAAAATTTAAAAAACGAAAAAGTAAAAAATCCCAAAACTGAAATATCGAAAAATTAAAAAAATCGAGAAATCGAAAAGTCCAAAAATCGAAATCAAAAAAATTGAAAAATTAATAAATCATATATAAATCTGAAAATCGAAAGATTGAAAAATTGAAGAACTGAGAAACTCAAAAATTGAAACATTGAAAAGTCGAGAAATCGAAAAATGGGAACTCCCTAAAATATCGAGAAAAAATATTCGAGAAATGGAGAACTCGAAAAATTGAAAATTTAGAAACGTCAAAAATTAAAAAATGGAACAATTGAAGAGTTGAAAAATTGAAAAATCCGAACACTGACATATCGAAAAATTCAGTAATCGAAAAACTGAAACTCCAGAAATTGGAAAATCAAGGAATTGAAAAATCGGAAAATTGAAGAATAAAAAAACTGAAAAATTCCAAAACTGAAATATGGAAAAATTGAAAAATCCAAATGTCGAAAAATCGAAATATCGAAAAATTGAGGGAGGCAAAAATTGTTATATCTGCTTTTTTTCAAAAAGCTCGATATCTAGGATAAAAATTCAACACGGATTCATAAACGACAAGTTCAGGACTGTTACTTTTTAACATTTAAATAACATTTATTCGACAAAATTATAGGACATCATGAATTCCTGGGAAGGAATGAACAGATAAATTTTGATAACGATTTACTATGCTTCCGATAAACTTACGTTTGCAAGATTTCAAAGCATTCGATTTTGCAATTTGAAAGTTAAATTGTAAAATGTTGTCATTTTTTCTCCAAAATTCTAAATGCCCAAGGTAAAAACTCAACACGGATTCATAAGCCACAAAATTTGATAGCAATCGGTCCGATAGTTTCGGGTTTCAGCAATTATCTAATAAATAAATATATGACCACAGACAGACGGAAACGGGAGGCCTATTTTTCTTACTCTACGGATCATAAAACGTCGAAGAAAACATGCAAGTAGAAATATTGGTAACAACTCTAAGCAAAACTTGTCAAATCATCCCTACCAGCACTTTGATACTTTGATGACGATTTTTTCATCATCTCGGTTAAGATGTCAAGAAATCGAGACACCAAAAAAATCGTTAAACCGAAAAATTAAAGAATCGAGAAATCGAAAAATTGCAAAATCGAAAATTAGAAAAATCGAGAAATTGAAAAATCAAAAACCTAAAAATCCAAAGATTGAAAAATTGAAGTAACTGAAAAACTAAAAAATCAAAACATTGAAAAGTCGAGAAACGGGAAAATAATAAATTGAAAAATTGAAAAATTGAAGGGTCGAAAAGTCCTACAACTGAATCATCGGAAAATTGAGAAACCGAAAAATGAAGAAATCGGGAAACCGCAAATTTGAAAAATCGAGAAACTGAAGAATCGAAAAAATGAAAGATTCCAAGACACATATCGAAAAATTGAAAATCGAGGAATTGAAAATTTGAAAAATCAAAAAATTGAAGAATAAAAAAACTGAAATATCGAAACATTGAGAAATCGAAATGCCGAAAAATGGAAATTTTGAAAAATTAAGAGAACGAAAAATTGTTATACATATCTATTTTTTTTCCAAAAATTCTGATATCCAGGAAAGTAACATTTACTATTGTAAAATTTACGTTTTACCATCTATAAGATATTTCTAACTTACTCGTACTTATAAAATTTGACAACAATGGGTTTTGGAGATTATCTAATAAAAATTGACACAGATAGACGACAGACATACAGACAGACAAAAACGGGAGGCCTATTTTTCTTATTCTACGGATCATGAAACGTCAAGAAAACATGAAACTAGGAATACAGTGCAGATAATAACAACTCTAAGCAAAATTTGTCTGATCATCCCTACCAACACATTGATCGTTTGATGACGATTTTTCATAATAAATACGATATAATTTTTTTAAAATAACATATTCGTATACTCGTGGCTTATAAATCCGCCTTGAGATTTTCGCGAAAAAAATCCACATTGAATAATAACTTTTCACTAATATATACGGAGCGCTTACATTGCCGCAGCGCGAAGGCCGTGGGTTCGATTACCTCACGCGGCATTTTTTTTACACTGCGACTAGAATAATCAACATTTTTTTACTATAAGGGTTATCAATTATCATAAAAAAATTAATTTCCCAAAATCAAATACTGTAATTTTTCTGTCTAAATAACCTCAGACCAATTTTTTTAATACTCCATGGATCGATTTATTTTGTTCTTTCCTGAAATTTGGTGTTCAAGCTGATAACGACATCGTAAAACACTAACGAATGAAGTTTTGAAAATTCGCCTTGACATGGTAATCTTGCGGAGCAATTTCTTTATCATATTTGGCTACTTTTAAAATATTTTGTATTAAATTGTTCACGACTTTTTCTATAAATAACACCACATTTTAAAAACACAAATAAGAACGAATCTTTGAAATTCTTGTCTTTATCTAAACTAAGATAACAAAAGCTGAAAAAAATCGATGCCTCCAAGGTTTAACATGTACTAATTTGGCACAGAACGGCACGAAAACAATCTGTGACCGACAGTTCCTGCAAGACAAATTAATTTAATTTAAAGACAAGATAAAATTATCTACCTTTTATTTTAGTATGTAATCGCGTTTTTTTTCTTTTTTAGGATACGTATGTCTGTATTTACAAAATTAGAATAAACTGGATCTTGAACTGTGTTGTTTTGCTCGCAGAAATGACGATGTCGAAGTTTGTATAAATGAATAAAGACCAGCGAACAGTAAGATAAATGTATATTGATAGTGACAAGTGTTAGGATAAATAAGAATGATAAGAATAG